TGGAAGACAGAAACTATTAATCATCTTTGTATCCCTAGCACCTAGCACTGTACTTGGTACATAGTAGGCGCTAAGTACATGTTTGTTGATTGAATATTGTACTTCTTTGTGGAAGTTGAAGATTTGTACATATTCCCTTTAGTATACTCACTGTGCTTTGAATGGTTCATTTTTCCTGTTGCTTATAGTATCCACCCCTCTCCCCCAGTTGCTTAATGTGTCATTTGAAGGCTGGTCTTCCCAACTAGATTGTAACTTGCTTTGTGGCAAGAATCTTTTTTAAAGTCTTATATATGCTTAGTAAATTGTGCATAAATGAAAACAGCCTATGGGGCCAAAGAGATTAGACTTGCTTGAAGGGTAACTTGTGATGGGAATATGGGTGTCAAGAGCAGGCTAATTCCTATCTCTGTATCCTTAGCCCACTTACAAGAAGCGAAGGTTGGATGAATGTGAAGAGGCCTTCCAAGGTAAGAGCCAGTCTCCCCCGCCCACCTACTCCCTGGCTTGCAACCCTGGAGCAGGAGGATTGATCTGGCAGTCTCTGATCAGAAAACAAGACCGAATTTTATTTTCCAGCATTAGCATTCCAAAGTTCTACAAACATGGTTATTATTTAGCACCCCAAACCTAATTTCCCAATAAACAGGGAGCGGTTGACTTAGTGTGGACTGTCAAGGGGGAGAGGTTTGAGGTGGCTACACATCTTAGATTTTCCACAGAAGTTCTAGTTATTTTCTCTTTTTCAGTAATAGTTGGTGCATTAAATCTTTAGAGCATATTTTAATTTCCTATTCTTTCCTTATTCAGATTTTGGCACTTTTTTTTTTTTAAGGATTTTATTTATTCATGAGAGAGAGAGAGAGAGGCAGAGACATAGGCAGAGGGAGAAGCAGGCTCCGTGCAGGGAGCTCGATGTGGGACTCAATCCCGGGACCCCAGGATCACACCCTGGGCCAAAGGCAGGTGCTAAACCGCTGAGCCACCCAGGGATCCCTAGACTTCGGCACTTTAGACACTCATTTTAGATAAAAAGCAGAGATCATAGCATCTCATGGGTCTGGGAAACAAGGAAGGTGGGGGTATTATGTCCTGTCCCCCCAACCCCTCAATCATTTGACCTTCTTCATGTCCCTGCCAGGAACCAAGGTGTTCGTGATGCCCAATGGGATGCTAAAAAGCAACCAGCAGCTAGTGGACATTATTGAGAAAGTGAAACCTGAGATCCGGCTGCTGATTGAGAAATGCAACACGGTGAGGCAGGGGCTAGTGACTTAAGGGCTGACCCCAAAAAGCCTGGCTTGAATTATGAAAAATATTGGTTGTGGGGCAGGAGGCACAGAGGTGATAGAGGAGTTGGCACATTAAGTATCTTGGCTACCATGTTCCTGGCTTCTGATCCCAGCAGCAAGGATTATATATTTCATGGCTTCAGCAGAAAAAGCGAGGATCTTCGTGTGTGTGTGTGTGTGTGTGTGTGTGTGTGTCTATGTGTATATATATATATATATATATATATATATATATATATCCATATATATGTATATATATTGGTCCTCTCACCCTTCAGGTCAAAATGTGGGTACAGCTTCTGATTCCCAGGATAGAAGATGGGAACAACTTCGGGGTGTCCATTCAGGTAACTTGCTTGTATTACAAACTGGAGAGGAAAGTTCAAAAGGTTTACTCTCCTTTTCCCTGCTTTCCCTTTGGCTCTTTGAGTGACATGGAAGTGACTTGACCTCGACCCTTGGGTTTTTTTTTTAGGAGGAGACAGTTGCAGAACTAAGAACTGTTGAGAGTGAAGCTGCATCTTATCTGGACCAGATTTCTAGGTAGGGCTTCTTGGGCATGGCCCAGGAATTGGGGGCTGGTGACATAGCAAGCACTATCCAGGGTCTTCTGCAGCTTCTTCCTCTTCTTTCTCCTTACAGATATTATATTACAAGAGCCAAATTGGTTTCTAAAATAGCTAAATATCCCCATGTGGTAAGTAAGGGTGTGGGGGTCTGAGGGTGGAAGTGGAAGGAGAGGGAGGAGTGGCTGTTACTCTGCAAGAGCTGCCACCTGTGGACAGCCCGGCCTCAGCAACTAGCCTTTCCTCCACCCTCCTTTCAGGAGGACTATCGCCGTACCGTGACAGAAATTGATGAGAAAGAATATATCAGCCTTCGGCTCATCATATCAGAGCTAAGGAATCAATATGTGAGTAACCTTGGTCTCTGCCCATAGTCACCCTGCCTGTTAGTCCTAGGGGTCATGTTCTTGTCATTTTCTGGGGTTTGAGGTGGGGGATGGAGTAGGATAAAATGAGTAGGATAAATTCTCATTAACTGAGTTGAGAGCTGAGATCATTGAGGGTGCATAGCTGGGGATCTCCCTTTCTGTTTGGATAGCAGGGAGTGTAGTGCAGTATAGGTGTGAAAATGTGAGCATTAGAGTCACAAGGCTTAGGTTCAGAACAAATTCTTCCTGTAATCTGTGGCCTTAGGCAAGATGTTGAACCTCAAATGTCAGTTTCTTCATCTCTAAGATAGAACTTAGAGTATCTATGGCACAAATATGGGGGTTTTTGGTTTTGTTTTTTTACAAAGATGGTTTTTAAAAATGAGTGAAATAGGGGCACCTGGATGGCTCAGTTGGTTAAGCATCCAACTCGTGATTTTGGCTTAGAGCATGATCTCCTGCATAGTGGGATTCAGATTAGTAGGACTGAGCCCTTTGTTGAGCTCCACGCTCAGCAGGGAGTCTGCTTGAGATTCTCTTTCTCTGCCTCCCGCCCTCACTCACCACTTGCTCTTTTTCTCTCAAATAAATTAATTTTTTTTTCCAAAAATGAGTGAAATAACACGTTAAAAGACCCAGTACCATTGTTGATTGTTATTCGACACTTGGGGCCTGGGAAGTATCCAGGAATCCCCAATGTGTGGGTATGACAGAGGAGAGACAGCCGCCCTGAATTCAGGTTCCAGTGAGTGGGATTGGGATTTTGCATGTGATTGGTTGGGGACTTGTGGGGGTATCTGGTTTCTTTGGGAGGTCAGATGGAACAAATGTGTGATTCCTTGACCTCTTCTCCCAGGTCACTCTACATGACATGATCCTGAAAAATATCGAGAAGATCAAACGGCCCCGGAGCAGCAATGCAGAGACACTGTACTGAGGCCAGGGCCGGGGCCAGGGGACTCTGTGAGTCTGGCTCGAGACCGACATTGCCTTGGTTTGTTACATGACTATCGTGATGGGGAAACTGGCTGGAAATAGTAATCACACCTCTCTCTGTTTTTAGTTAGAGTCTAATGAAACTCTCATGTAGTTCTGTGACGTGTTTACCTCTTTTTTCGGGCCTCAGGAACTCTTCTTTCTTTCCCTAATACCCCACACCCGACCTGTCCTAATTTCTGGAGAATTCCAGGTTTGTGTGTGCAGGATATTGGCACAGGAATACTTGTGTTTTCTCTCCTTGCCCTCTCCCTCCTGTGTCTTGAGCTTTGTGTTTTCTTCCTTCTGTTGATTAGTTCATTAGAAGCTGAGGGAACTGGAAGGAAAGTGCTAGGTGTTTTTTAGGAACTGGGGTGGGAGGGGTCCAGCTCCTCTCCTCTGATGTAAGGTTAGTGTCTCTTGCCACTGTGTGGGACATTGGATCCTCCCTCCCACAGTTTTCCTGGTGATAACTTAGGGTTTCCCATCCACATACATCCCACCTTGAACCTGATCATGACAAGAAACACCTTAGGCCTTCTGCCAAGTCCCTAGCTCCTTGAGATGTTTTTATAACTAGGATTTTCACATACACATAGGTGTGTGGTATACACATACGTACAGACATGCACGCACATGCCTTCCTACTCTTAACCTGATATCCCCATCGCATAGTCTGTGTTGTTGTCCTTTGTCCCCCCAACCCCTCCCACCAAGAACTCTGTCACACACACACATCATTCAGAAAGTGATAGTTGTCTTAGTCCTTGCACACTGGGGCCCCTCATTCTGCTCTTATATACAGGCTCTTGATGCCCAGAGGCTGGTGAGTTGGAGGAGAGCCGAGAGATGAGAAGCAGAGGATCTGGGGAAGGCCCCTTCCTCTGTGACTCCGGTCTTTTGGGGCATCACTGCAAAGGCTGGTCCTCTGGCTCCTGGTTGCCTCTTCTAGGCCAGTTGTAAATTGGCGTGGGGCTCCCTGCAGCTCTGAGGGCCAGATGCTGCTGCTTCTGCTGGGCTTTCCTAGGGGAAAAACATTTCTCTTATTTATAGTATTGTGCTTCCAAGGAAAGCAGCACCTGTGTGTCTGTGTGTGTATGCACACACGCGTGTACGCTTTGTGTGTATGTGAAAATCTGCCAGGCAAGTCAAAACCGTAGAAGAGTTGCCTCCTATCTCTTGAATCTTCCAGAGAGATCACTTGTTACAGCTTTTCTGTTAACCCTCATCAAACCCCTACTTTTTTATTCTGCCGCTACTGGAGAGTTAGTATTGCAGTCAGCCTGCCAGTGACTCTCTCCATGTCTGTTTCTGACTCTCATTCTTCCCCTTGCCTTCATCCCCAATCATATTTCCACCCAGATGCATCATTTTTACTCCCAGTACGCTGTAGAGAAGGAGTCAGAATGCTGTCTTCCCATGAATAGTACTCAGTAACAAACCAATTGCATTTTAGTTGGGCAGTGCCCCTACTCACCCTCCAGATCCCTTCCAGCTAAAACCCTACCCTTTTCCCACTATGTGTTTCTCAGTTTCCCTTTTTGTTTTTTGGATTATTCTGCCCCTCCTCCTTACTCTACCACCCTTGGATCGTAATGTAAAATTCTTTTACCATGTCAAGAAATTATTAAAAACGCAGGTACTTTGACCTCTTTCTAAAGCTGCAGACCCTGGTGCGATGCTCTGGTGGCTAGGGACATGCCCACACTCAAGTGCTTGTGCACGGGGACACCCACCTCCACATACACCTCCAGCCACCCTATTGGGTGTTTTTATACCAATTGAACTGCCTCTTTTCTCTAAAATAATGGAAAGACTGAGGCTTCTGCCTACCAAGAGGCAGGGGTGGGTCCTTTACTTGTGTTCAGTCTGAATTACGTGAAAGTTAGCCCTTACAAACCTAAGCTGCTTCTGTCTAACCTCCCAAGATACCCAGTTCCTTGCTGTCTCCCTGGTGATACCCATGAACTGCCAGTAGAGGCTGCTCTAGTTCCGCCTGTGGGAGATCACCTGGTTCAAGGCAACAGCCTACCCGGTCATTTTCTTGACCTTATACTAATTCTCCCTACTGATTAGTGTCTTAAATTTCTTGAGGAGATACCAGGGTTTCCTGTTTTTGGTTTTCCAATGACTTGGAGGGCTGTCTAGGATTCTAGCTCTCTCTGAAATAAAGTTTCCTCAACTTCCACCTTGCAAAGTAGCATTCTAATATCCAGTGATCCCCTCATTGTCTCTGCAAAAAGAGATTTAAGGTCTTGAATGGTGAGGAACGTCCGCTGTATTCTGTTCCAGAGATCGGTTCCAGAAGCTAACAATTTTTGAATGCCTTCCCTGTGTTGGGTTCTGTTAAGTACTTTATGTGCATGACCATGTTCAATTTTCATGAATCTAGAATAGTTTACCCCTCCTTTATAGGTGAGGACACTGAAACTCATGATTAAGTGACTCCTCTGAGGTCATATAGCATAGGGACGTGGGGTTGGTATACAAATCGGACTGCTGAGCCCAGGCACTCATCCTTTCCCAATGGCTAGATGGAAGAGACCTGAAACTACAAAGCAGGGGCTTGGCCTTTGGCAGCTGGCCAGGTACTTGTTACTGAACTGGGCCGTGGGTCCTGGGAATACTGGGGGGGAGTGCCTGCTAGGAGGTAGGATAGTTGGGTGCCTATGTGTATCCAAATGGATAGTTTGGGTGCCTATGTGTAGCACACAGCACTTAACTGGGCATCTGAGGTTTGCATTCATCCTCAGATCCATTCTAAGTGAAAGGTAGAGTTTAGAGTTAATCCAAATGCCATCTAGTCTGGTCTAAGTGGTGGCAATCAGAACTCCTACCGTCCTGCCACCAGGAGTTCAGGGGCAGGGGAGAGGCTATGCACGTGGAAGTAGTGCCTTGAGCCAAACCACGGAACAGAAAATTGGAACAGAATTATATAAATTAAGGTCAGAAATTTCCTGTCCAACCCACAGGGTGGAGTTTTCTCCATTCCTATCCATCCTACTGAATATAAACCCCGATTTGATGTCAGTAACTGGAAGGAGCAGCTGGTAGGACTCCCCTTTCAGCTTTCAGCATTCATCATGAATCTCAAGGTAGTCCTCGTGTTCCTGGCACTGTCCCTCATTACCATCGTTGCCCTGGCCTATGTCTTGCTGACCAGCCACGGTGGCACCAGCCAGCCTCCCCGTTGCCCCGCTGTGTCCCCCAGCGCCCATCCCTGGACACACCCCGGTCAGAGCCAGCTGTTTGCAGACCTGAGCCGAGAGGAGCTGACAGCTGTGATGAGCTTCCTGACCCAGCAGCTAGGGCCAGGCCTGGTGGATGCAGCCCAGGCCCGCCCCTTGGACAACTGCGTCTTCTCCGTGGAGCTGCACTTGCCCCCCAAGGCTGCAGCCCTGGCCCACCTGGATAGGGGGAGCCCCCCACCTGCCCGGGAGGCACTGGCCATCGTCTTCTTTGGCGGACAACCCCAGCCCAATGTGAGTGAGCTGGTGGTGGGGCCGCTGCCTCACCCCACCCACCTGCGGGATGTGACAGTGGAGCGTCACGGGGGCCCCCTGCCCTATCACCGACGCCCCATGCTGGGAGCGGAGTATGCCCAGATGTGGAAGCATTTGAAGGAGGTGGAGCTACCCAAGGCACCAGTCTTTCTGGCTTCTGTCTTCAACTACAATGGCTCCACTTTGGCACCTCTGCATGCCACACCCAGTGGCTTGCGCTCAGGGGACCGTGTTACCTGGATAGCCCTCTACCATAACATCTCAGGTGTTGGCATTTTCCTTCACCCAGTGGGGCTGGAACTACTGCTGGACCACAGGGCCCTGGACCCTGCCCACTGGGCTGTCCAACGGGTCTTTTACCTTGGGCGCTACTATGCAGACTTGGGCCAGTTGGAATGGGAATTTAAGGCTGGCCGGCTGGAAGTGGTTAGGGTTCCTCTACCCCTGCCAAATGGGGCTTCATCCTTGAAGTCCCGGGCCTCCCCAGGTCCTCTCCCCCCTCTTCACTTCTCACCTCAGGGCTCCCAATATAGCGTGCAAGGGAACCTGGTGGCATCCTCTCTCTGGACATTTACCTTTGGTCACGGGGTGTTTAGTGGCATGAGGATTTTTGATATTCGGTTCAAGGGCGAGCGAGTGGCCTATGAAGTCAGTGTCCAGGAGTGTGTATCTGTCTATGGTGCCGATTCACCCAAGACAATGATGACCAGATACTTGGATAGCAGCTATGGACTTGGCCGTCACAGCCGGGGCTTGGTTCGGGGAGTGGACTGCCCCTATCAATCTACAATGGTGGACATCCACATATTGGTGGGCACAGGGGCAGTCCAGCTGCTCCCGGGGGCTGTATGTGTATTCGAGGAGGCCCAAGGACTGCCCCTTCGGAGGCACCACAATCACCTTGAGAGTCATTTCTATGGTGGTTTGGCTGGCTCGGCCCTTGTAGTCAGGTCTGTGTCCTCTGTAGGCAACTATGACTACATTTGGGACTTTGTACTGCACCCAAATGGGGCGCTGGAAGGGCGGGTCCATGCCACGGGCTATATCAACACGGCTTTCCTGAGTGGGGGTGAGGAGAGCCTCCTCTTTGGGAACCGTGTGGGGGAGCGAGTGCTGGGGGCAGTGCACACACATGCCTTCCACTTCAAGCTGGACCTGGATGTGGCAGGTGAGTGCTCTGGTGAGGGCTGAGACTTGGGGTGGAGCAGAGGGAAGGGAGACCCCCAAAGCAAGCTAGAGGCAGCAGAGGGTAGAGTCCTGGCACCATGATATCTTGTGGCAACAGAGCAGGGGCTGATTGGAGTATATTTGACTGCAGTCAGCCTGAAATACTGGGTGTACTGGGTATCTGGCCAAAAGTAGGAGTGCCCCTACCCGGCCCTGGTCACCCAGCCCCCCTGCCTTGCTGTGATTGTGAAACTGGCTTAAATGCAATGGCTGTGCCTGGCTGCCTTTGTCTCGAGTGCCTGTGGCTAGTGAGTTTACCCCAGCAGTTGGGGCTCTTGAGTTTTTTGTCCTGATTCTGAGGGTCAGTGGAGGTTGGGGAAAGCAGAGGCCTGAGCAGAGGATAGGAAGCAGCCTAATGAGGTTTTCAGAGTAGAGGTGGTCCTGGGACACAGGAGGGGGGTGTGAATGGGGGGTTGCTTCACAGGATTTCATAAACAGGACATAGGATAGTGGCCCTACCATCCTCCTGGGGAGGGTCACCCCATCCCTGCCAGCACATGTCATCACAACCAGCCTTCCGGTGACCCGACAGGCATGCAATAGGCTTGCTGCAAGTGTAGAAAGGGATTTCTCAAGTGGGGCTCAAAGCACAGAGAGGACTTGCTACTCCTGAGAGATTTTTGTCATGAACAAAATAACAAACTTATCAAATCATAGACTATTAGACCCAGAAAGAAAAATAGAAGTCTACCAGACCTTCGCCAAACTAAGGAGGATGGGGGGAAGTGGGACAAGTAGACTGCTTTGGTACAATGCTTGGCACACAACTTTCCTGTGAAACATTTTCTTACCCTCTTGAATATAAAGACATGGTTTGGGGTGGGAGGAGAACTAAGAAAATAGCATGACTGAAATGAGTATTATCTGGATTATTCTTTGACATATTTGGAATTGGACTTTCCTAATCTGAAGTTTCTCTTCAGCATTTTTGGCATTAAAGAGCCTTGTATTGGAAAGTAAGAGTGAGTAACATTTGGATCCCTATAGGGTGGAGCGTGTAGGACAAGCAGCAGGAGTACCAGCTTCAGTACAGCGCTCTCTACCGTGCCAGGTGCCTTCACGATAGGTTCTGTTGAAAGGATGTGAGCCTGAACCTGCAAAAAGAGTCTAATCTTAAGTGTCAAGTGGGAAAGATGAGTGCACATTACAAGTGCAAATGAGTTCTGGGGGGCTTTCAGACAGTTTAAGAGCTAAATCGACCCACTTCGGAAGAAAACAATGGTCCCCACCTTGTGGAGAAAGAAAAGTTTCAGAGCTGGGAGGAATATGCAGGGCACCCTGTAAGGGGATTGGGTTTTTCCGGCCAGCTTCTCTCAGACAAATCTCTCTTTCATAGTTACAAGAATGTAACTAGCCACCTGGGTGTGCTTTTCTACTTACAGAACTCAGCCACAGAACAGCTTTTATTATGCCCACTATAGAAATTCAGAAAGAATCAGAGAAGCAAAGAAATGGTCCAAGGTCTACTGGGTAAGCCAGTGCTAGCAGAACTCTAGGCAGTGATGGATATTCTCCATCTGTGCTGATATGTCATTAGCCACTAGTCACATGGCAATTGAGCACTTAAAATGTGGCTAGTATAACTGAAGAGCTGCATTTTTAGTGTAAATGGAACTAGCCACTCGTGACCAGTCGTAGCCATATTGAACAGGGCAGGTTCAAAGAAGATGGGCTGGCACTCGAATCCGACCTGGCTCCCAGCACAGACTGCTCTCTGACGAGCTCTGCTGCCCTTTGTGAGGCCAGTGCAGTGGGCATCTTGTGGAAGACAAGGGACTGTCTCACCTGGTGTGGAACTCCTCTCCCCCCTCCCCCTGGCAGGGCTGAAAAACTGGGTGGTAGCTGAAGACGTGGTGTTTAAACCTGTGGCAGCCCCTTGGAGTCCAGAGCACCAGCTGCAGCGGCCACAGCTGACTCGGCAGGTCCTGGGAAGGGAGGACCTGACAGCTTTTTCCTTGGGAAACCCCCTCCCCCGCTACCTTTCTCTGGCTAGCAACCAGACTAATGCCTGGGGTCACCAGCGCGGGTACCGAATCCAGATCCACAGCCCCCTCGGCATACACATGCCCCTGGAGAGCGACATGGAGAGGGCCCTCAGCTGGGGGAGGTGAGGATGGCTCTGGGCACTGGGTGGTCGGGAAGGACGGGTCCTGTTCCCCGTCCCAACCCACTACCTTTGGCTTACCACTCACCCCTATACCTCCTCTTGGATCCAAGTAGATATGGGATGGGAAATGGTCTTGTGTAGACTCAGGTCCGAAGGACTTCGAGGCCAAGAATGGCCAATGTTTTCTGACACCACTTTCCTTCAACCTTCCTGGTCAGATACCAGCTCGTGGTGACCCGGAGGAAGGAGGAGGAGTCACAGAGTAGCAGCATCTATTACCAGAATGACATCTGGACCCCCACTATGGCCTTTGCTGACTTCATCAACAATGAGACCCTCTTAGGAGAGGTTGGTAGCCCTAGAGGCAGAGCAGAGGAACAACTTAAGCCTGATGACTTGGCTGCCCAGTCCCTGACCGTAGGTTGGAGGGAATGGTAGGTTTCTAGTTCTCAGATTCAGGAGCCAACATGGGTCATCTCTCTTGGGGTAAGATTAGCCCTGGGACACTAACCATCCTGCAGCTTCTCACAAGAATCACCCGGCCTGCTGTATGGACCCAGGGCTGGGTGGAGGTGGAAGCAAGGCTGAGGCTAGAGGTTGGGGATCGTGGCCGAGGAGGGGTGGTTCTGTGGGTCTCACTTCCAAAGTCTTTCAGCCTCTCCCTCTTCCCACAGGACCTGGTGGCTTGGGTCACAGCCAGCTTCCTGCATATTCCCCATGCTGAGGATGTCCCCAACACAGTGACTCTGGGCAACAGAGTTGGCTTCTTGCTCCGGCCCTATAACTTCTTTGATGAAGATCCCTCCATCTTCTCCCCTGGCAGTGTCTACTTTGAGAAGGGCCAGGATACTGGGCTCTGCAGTGTCAACCCCGTGGCCTGCATTCCCCACCTGGCGACCTGTGTCCCGGACATGCCCCCTTTCTTTTACCAGGACTTGTAGCCCCAAGGGTGTGGTGGGACATGGAGGGGGGTTGCTGAGACATTTGTATTTTTCTCTCTGTTCCCACTTCCTGCTCCCTTGACTTCTACTCTCTTAATATTCCTTAGGAAAAACAGCCTCGGGATCCCTGGGTGGCGCAGCGGTTTGGCGCCTGCCTTTGGCCCAGGGCGCGATCCTGGAGACCCGGGATCGAATCCCACATCGGGCTCCCGGTGCATGGAGCCTGCTTCTCCCTCTGCCTATGTCTCTGCCTCTCTCTCTTTCTCTCTCTGTGACTATCATAAATAAATAAAAATTAAAAAAAATTTTTAAAAAAAGGAAAAACAGCCTCCCACACTATATATATATATATATATATATATATATATATATATCCCATTAATTCTTATTCCAGTTCATTTTGTTTAAATAGTGGATTTATGCAAATGATAGGATTATTAAAATATTCAAGCAAAACACCACAAATTCTACCACTTAGAAATAGCTAGTGTTCACATTTGGTGAACGTTATACTGGACATTTCTTTATGCATGTGCATTGAAATGGAAGAATGGATAGAATTTTGTAAAAATAGATGGTGTGTGTGATTTATAATAAAAAGTATTACAGTATTTTTATCGCTCGAATTTCTATTTGACTTTTGAAGTATCTAGAATCCACCCCATTCCCTCCTGTCCCCGTGTCTCCCCCACTCCAAAAAAATATTAAGGACACTGGCCAAGGCAATTAGCAATGGAAGAAGAGAGGGCAAGAGGATGCCCCTTGGGAAGCTGCAGGGCTGGGGCGCGGTGGGGCGGGGGGGGGGGTTTCCTTGGAAGCAAAACAATAGTTCCAAGTTACAGGAAAAGGAACATCTGGCCCTGGAAGGTGGGGGTTGGGGGAAGAAGCAGGCAAAGGACGAGGGTCTGCTCTGAGCAGAACCAGCTCCTCACTGGTGATGCTTTTCCAGGCTCAGTTGGTCAGTTGCATTATTTTTAAACCTCACTCTGCTTCTGCCTACCCCAGCTCTCCCCAGTTCCAACCCTGACCCAGAGAGTGGAGTCTGATTTGGAGCCTGGAAGACAAAGCCATGTAAGGTCTGTGGAAATCACTGCCGCCCTGCGTCAGGCCCGCCTCCCAAGTCCGGCGTGCCCCGCCCCCTCCCCAGCTTTCCCGTGTCCTTCCCACCCTCCCCACCCTCAGTATCCTGAACGACTGAACACTGGGAACCTCAGCCAGAATCCAGGAGCCCCCCCCCCCTTATAGAAGCCAAGAGAGACCTAACTCTGCTGACCTGAGAACACACGTCTCCACTCTGGTTCTATCCTCTGTCCTGCCGTTCACAGACAATGAACCAGAAGACCACTCTGGTGCTCCTTGCTCTGGCTGTCATCACCATTTTTGCCTTGGTGTGTGTCCTACTAGCTGGCAGGGGAGGAGATGGGGGTGAACCCGGCCAGCCCCCCAGCTGCCCCGCTGTGTCCCCCAGCGCCCAGCCCTGGACACACCCCGGTCAGAGCCAGCTGTTTGCAGACCTGAGCCGAGAGGAGCTGACAGCTGTGATGAGCTTCCTGACCCAGCAGCTAGGGCCAGGCCTGGTGGATGCAGCCCAGGCCCGCCCCTCGGACAACTGCGTCTTCTCCGTGGAGCTGCACTTGCCCCCCAAGGCTGCAGCCCTGGCCCACCTGGATAGGGGGAGCCCCCCGCCTGCCCGGGAGGCACTGGCCATCATCTTCTTTGGCGGACAACTCCAGCCCAATGTGAGTGAGCTGGTGGTGGGGCCGCTGCCTCACCCCACCCACCTGCGGGATGTGACAGTGGAGCGTCACGGGGGCCCCCTGCCCTATCACCGACGCCCCGTGCTGATCCGGGAGTACCTGGACATAGACCAGCTGATCTTCGACAGGGAGCTGCCCCAGGCTGCTGGGCTCCTCCACCACTGCTGCTTCTACAAACGCCAAGGACGGAATCTGGTGACGATGACCACGGCCCCCCGAGGTCTGCAGTCAGGGGACAGGGCCACCTGGTTTGGCCTCTACTACAACATCTCAGGGGCTGGGTTTTTCCTGCATCCCGTGGGGTTGGAGTTGCTAGTAGACCACAAGGCTCTGGACCCTGCCCGCTGGACCATCCAGAAGGTGTTCTTTCAAGGCCGCTACTATGACAGTTTGGCCCATCTGGAGGACCAGTTTGAGGCAGGCCTGGTGAATGTGGTGCTGGTCCCAGACAATGGCACAGGTGGGTCCTGGTCCCTCAAGTCCCAGGTGGCTCCGGGCCCAGCTCCTCCTCTGCAGTTCCTACCCCAAGGCCCCCGTTTCAGTGTCCAGGGCAGTCGAGTGAGCTCCTCATTGTGGACTTTCTCCTTTGGCCTTGGAGCTTTCAGTGGCCCCAGGATCTTTGACATCCGCTTCCAGGGAGAACGACTAGCTTATGAGATCAGCCTCCAGGAGGCCTTGGCCATCTATGGTGGAAATTCCCCTGCAGCAATGCTGACCCGCTATATCGATGGCAACTTTGGCATGGGCAAGTACTCCACTCCCCTGACCCGGGGGGTGGACTGCCCCTACCTGGCCACCTATGTGGACTGGCACTTCCTTCTGGAGTCCCACACCCCCAAGACAATACGGGATGCCATTTGTGTGTTTGAACAGAACCAGGGCCTCCCCCTGAGGCGACACCACTCAGATTTCTACTCCCACTATTTTGGGGGCCTTGCAGAGACAGTGCTGGTTGTCAGATCTGTGTCAACCATGCTCAATTATGATTATGTGTGGGATATGGTCTTCCACCCCAATGGGGCCATAGAAGTCCGACTCCATGCCACCGGCTACATCAGCTCAGCATTCCTCTTTGGCGCTGCCCGAAGGTATGGGAACCAGGTCAGAGAGCACACCCTGGGTACTGTCCACACCCACAGCGCCCACTTCAAGGTGGATCTGGATGTAGGAGGTAAGACATCCCTGGGGAAGCAAGGATTTCAGCAGAGGGGGCTGAAAAGTTATCTATTTGCTTTGGGATTTATGGAAGTCATCCAGGAAAGGAAGATTTGAACATGAATTGCAGTTTTGAAGTTTCATACTTCCTCTTTGGCTGGATGGGAGAAAGTTGGCTACTGAATTTTATTTGGGTACTAGCTCATTGGGCCGGTGCAGAGCTGCCACCCTCCCTCCACATGACTTCATCTGAAAATCTCGAGAAATGGCAGAGCTCAGGGAGGAGGCAGGATCTGGGTCCCTTTGCCCTCGTCCCTCCCCGGGCTCTTCTTTTAGGGGCCTTACTTTAGGGAGGCAGCCCTTTGTTTCATCGTTCATTTCTCTGCATGTGGCCTGTGGTGCTGAAGTTTGGGAGGACCTCTGCCAAGTCCCTGGCACATGCACGCCAGTCATGGAACACCCCAGGTTATACATTTATATATTGTATGTATACTATATATATATATATATATATTACACATTTCTGTGGGAGGTGAACCCCCTTCCTCCCTGGAGTTCTCTCTCTGGGCACAATCCGTTTAAGTACAAGGGAGGTAGAATGGGTACTGTGGAGTGTTCAGATAATTCCCAGGCTTGGTGGTCACAGAGACAGCCAAAGATCCACGATGGCATGGAGTCCCCATCTTCTCACTTTCCTTCCCCATATTGAGTCGATCACCCATTTTTTTCCTGGTCTGCCTCTGAAATATATCAAAGCCTTGCGGGGTCGGCCTTCTCTCTGCTGCTTCCACTTTTTTCTTCCTCTCAGATCCAGGGACTACCTACCAGCCTGTGCTAGCTTGCCCCACCCCCCCATCTAGCTCCAACTGACTTCCCTCAAAGGCCCTTCCCCTCAGAGTGTGGTTCCAGCCTGCCCTTCAGCCCACCCCTCCCCACCCCAGTGCCACCTTAGCCAATGCCCACACCCTCCCCCATCCCTGGCCACACCTGCCACAGGTTAGTCGGGCTTAGGTGCTTTTGCTCCTATTGTATCCCGGCTGTGTTATCTCCTGAGACCAGGCTGGAAGGGAACCAGGCAGGTCCCCTTTTCCTTCCTGCATCTATATTCCTGTGACCTTGGACCTCAAATGTGCTCCTCCACGCTGCAGGCCCCTCAGGGTTTTGCCTTCTGTAGCCTCTGTGAGCATGGGAGGAAAGGGACCGGGCTTCATTGCTCTGTGCATCCTGGGCTGAGCACAGTCCTCTCCCCTAATAAGTGGGAAGGTTTATTGGACGAAGTCCCTGAAGAAATACTTTACAGGTCAACAGCTTTGGCTGAAAGACCAGGGATATATCCTGGAGAGAAGGAAGGGAAGAAGGGGCACAGTCAGTTCTGGGTTTCTCCTTGGCCCCCACTCTGAAGCTGTGAGTGGTGGGCAGGAGACACAGTCCAGAGGGGACAGGGCAGCAGCGTGACCAGCCCTTCTTCCCACCTCCACCCCACCCTGGCAGGACTAGAGAACTGGGTCTGGGCTGAGGACATGACCTATGTCCCCACGGCGGTACCCTGGAGCCCCGAACACCAGATGCAGAGGCTGCAGGTGACCAGGAAGCTTCTGGAGACTGAGGAGCAGGCCGCCTTCCCCCTGGGGGGCACCCCACCCCGTTACGTGTACCTGGCCAGCAACCACAGCAACAAGTGGGGTCATCCACGGGGCTACCGCATCCAGTTGCTCAGCTTTGCAGGGGAGCCGCTGCCCCAGAACAGCTCCCTGGAGAGAGCCTTCAGCTGGGGGAGGTGAGTGGCGGGGTGTCATAGAGAAGCAAGGGGAAGAGAAGGAAGGATGCCCTGTGTTGAGAGGGGCAACTGGGAACTCAGTTCAAACTGTATTCGAGGTGAAAGCTCCATTAGGATTTCCTGGTTATCAAAACCCATACACTGGGCAGATGTTCCCTGTGCAGGGCTGATGTACAGGCGGGAGTGCCCTTCCCCATTTTGGATGGGGGGAGAGACCATCCTGTGAAAGGGCAGGGGGAGGAACCGGAGGATGTGGAAAGAGGTTGGTTTTCCCACCAGGGTGGCATCAGAGTCACTGTGTGGATGAGTTGGGAAGCCCAAGGTCCATGCACTCAGCCTCCTTCCATCATAATCAGGCAGCAGGACGGGGTTAGTGACCATGGAGGCCTGACCAGTGCCTCCCTAGGTACCAGCTGGCTGTGACCCAGAGGAAGGAAGAGGAGCCCAGCAGCACCAGCATCTACAATCAGAACGACCCTTGGGCCCCCACCGTGGATTTCACTGACTTCATCAACAATGAGACCATTGCTGGAGAGGTGAGCTGACTGTAGGAGGGTCAAGGGAGGGAGACTTGGGGCACGGAGATGAACCCCACCTCTAGTTCCTTGAAACCATCTGGTCTCCGGAGGGATGGAGCTGATTCCTGCCTTCTGTGTTTTCCTGCATCTGATCATTACCTCTTAAGGGAATCGTCCCAAGCTGGAAGTTCATTTGCAGACTCTTGCTAAGGTTCCAACCCATTTGGAGACCCCACAGCTCTCTTGAGTCTTAGCTTCATGGACTTTGTCTTTTTTGGGCCCCAGGATTCGAGGAAGGCTCGAAGACCACATCTCTTGTGTCTCATGCTTCTCTCATTTCTGACTTGACCTCTAAAGGCTTAATTTCTGAATGTTGGCATTCTCTGGCATTTCTCTGTTGGCATTATCTCTGGATAAACCCTTATCTTCCCCCTCCATCCTCCTCTCAGTCATACGTGGGGAATTCTTGGAGAATGAGGGAGTCATCCCTCTGGGGTGGGTATGCTGATGGCGGTATGATGGGAAATGTCAGAGTTGGAGGGCACAGGCTGGGAAAGGGAGGCAGGGCTTGCTCCCAATATGAAATGGACTATGCTCTGACTCCTGGGCCAGTAGGAAAAACTGTTTAAACACTTAAGATCCTTTCTCAGTTCAGGTCTTGATCTCAGGGTTGTGAGTTCAATCCCCATATTGGGCTCCATACTGGGTATAGAGACTACTTTAACAACAACAACAACAACAACAACAACAAAGACAAGGTCCTTTTGAGGGAAAGTGGACTGGCAAGGTGAATCCTCACATCCGAGGCTACTGTAGGAGGCAGGTATATCTTTCACAAAGCCAGGCCTCAGGTCCTCTTTCTTCTCCCTTGCCAGGACTTGGTGGCCTGGGTGACAGCTGGTTTCCTGCACATCCCTCATGCAGAAGATGTTCCCAACACAGTGACTGTGGGCAATGCTGTGGGCTTCTTCCTCCGACCCTACAACTTCTTTGACCAGGACCCCTCCTTCGATTCTGCAGACTCTGTCTATTTCCAGGGGAACCAGGATGCCAGGGCCTGCGAGGTCAACCCCCTGGCTTGCCTTCCTCAGTCTGCTGCCTGTGCCCCAGACCTCCCTGCCTTCTCCCACGGGGGCTTCTCTCACAACTAGGGGTCCCCCCAGGATGGGGAATGTGGCCGGCGCCCCAGGGCCAGGGTGTGTGGGGAGGGGAACAGTGGTGGCCTGGTGCCTTCTTCTCCTACCTTCCACCACAAAGCTCCTCCCCTCCCCTCCCCCCCAGACCCCCTCTCTATCGCCCTCCCTGACACCCCCTCCCTTCAGGGAGCCTCCTGAGCCTGTGATACCTGGCACTGGGGGAGGGGCAGAGACATCAGTCAGCTTTGTGGTCACCCGACCTGCTGAGAGAAGAATGGCCAGCTGAAGCCTGGGACTAATGGCCAAGCTTTTCCCAGAAGACTTATTTTTTTGTGATTTTGTGTTTGGTTTTGTTTTTTGGCTTTATGGCTTTCCCAAATCTTTTTAACCCACCTCCTAGTCTCCCCTGAGCCTCTTCAGTCTCTCCCTTGGAAGGTGGGGATGGTGTTGCAGCACTGGGGACAGTCCCCTAGGAGCCCCAGGGCAGGGTTCCTGTCAGGCCTACACATCTAGGGATGAGCTAGAGGAGATTCCTTAGCCCATATTCCTCTTATCCAAGTCCTCCTTCTTTCCCTCTTCCTTCCTTGGCCAACTGGTGCCTCTTCCTGTTCCTACCTGTTCTTATAGCCTGAAATTTCTCTCCCAGCCCTCAGAGAATGTTTCCCTGTCCTGATGCTACCTTAGCCTTCATTTCTTGACTTAACGGCTCCTCTCCTGGCTCTCTGCCTGTGGAAATCTCAAACATCTAGTTTGAGAGGACAACCCTGTCCGTCCCTCTGTATCTGTCACAAACCGGAGTAGGAGTCGTCCCCACCCCAGTCCTAGGGTAGGCTGTAATTCCTGAAAGTTCTGTCCACCGCTTTGTATTCACCTGCCTTGCTTCTCTGGCAAAGGATGGTCACATAGACAGCAGCAGCTCAAGTTAGCTTTTGGGGTGGATTTGTGGGCACAGTGGTAATGAGGAGCGGTCATTTGTGCCTGGGGTGTATGTGACCAATGACCTCACATGCTCCACAGCAGCAGACACAGAAGGCTGGTTGGCGCCAAGGGTGGGAAGCAGAGAGACTCTGGAACTCCAGCGACCTAGAGGTGGCCATGCAAATGAGCTGGGCGGGGGGGCGTGGCTTCCACCATGCTGTCCCTCAGAGGATCTGGGTGAGGGGTGGGTATGACCATAGTGAGAAATTAGAAACCAGAGAAACATCCTTTCCTAGAGGATTGGTTAACTAAATTTGTACACAGCCTAACAATACAGCGCTATGCAGCTATTAAAAGGATGCTCTCAGTGTATACTCGCAGGGAATGATCTTCCAATGAATACGCCAAGGCACAGAAGTGTGTGTGGTGCACTTCTCCTTTGTGTGATAGAAAGGAGGAAACTATAAATACATATTTACTTATATATGCTTATTCAGAAGAAACCAGGGATACTGGTCGCTTTGGGGAAGGGGAGTTGGGAGGTGAGGAAGGGGAGGGAGGAGACTTAGCACTATGTACCCTTCTGTATATTTTGAATTTGAGCCATGTGACTATTATCTATTCAAAACAAAATAAAAAATGGACCCAAACAGGATCTGATTCATTTGTTTGGTTGGTTTTTACCCACAAGTCTTTTAGGAAGAGGTGAGGTAGGGGTAGGGTAGAGTGAATAAGGGTATGGGCCCAGGGACTGCATTTGGTCATGTTTCTGAGACCCAGAGAAATGGATGCAGCCTCTGGTACCTCCTTGCACTCGCTTGCCTGTCCACCCCTGAAGAAAATGTTAAGCCTCAGGTGCGTGCTCTTGCTCCCTGTCTCTGCCTCTGTCTCTTTTTTTCCTCTCTGCGTCTCTTAAAAGAGAAGACGATGGGAAGCAATGGAGAGAGGTGATTTTTGCCTGCTGGGAGCCCGGCCAGGCCTGGAGGTGAAGTGTAGGAAACCGATTTGAGATTCTACTTAGCTTCAGACCAGAGCGAGATCCTATGTAGGGGAGCTCAGGCATCACGGAAGCTTCTGCTCCTCCCTGTGCTGCCCCAAGCCCATGGTCACTTCTGGACCAATGAAATAGTGGATAGGGGTGAAGTCAGCGAGCTGGAGGGAAACTCTGTTCCAAAGAACAGCGAGGAAGAACAGAGCGAGGGGAACGCAGGAGTAACAGAACACAGAGACACAGGACACGGAGCAAGTGAAGACTGGCACAGAGGAGAAGGGAGATGCCATAGCCGGCTGTGGCTCTGGCACTGACTTTGCACTTCTGTCTCCCTGACCTGAGTACTTTCTCCGTGACATGCACATCCATTTGTTTGCAGCTCCTCTGGCTCCTTCCTACGGCCAGCCTCAGCCTCACGGGGGTCAGTGCTGGGGGGATACGGAAGGAGGGAATGCTGAAGTCCGCCCCTCCCCTTCCCCAATCACACTCGTGTGAACCTCATGACCCCGAAACCCAGGTCCACACGGAAGATCGTGGGTGCTTGTATGTGGCCATATGTGTGAGTGGGTGTGAATGCTTCCCAGCTTTTGTCTGAAAACGTGACTATGTGTGGTTTTGTCTCTACGTCTCACCATCTGCCCCAGCCTCAGATGAAAGGAGGCAAGATGGACATGTGGATCCTTAGAATGTCTGTCCAGTTGGGGTCAGGAGGGCTACAAGGTGGACCCCCAGCCCCCTACCTCAACTCAATCTCTTCCTTAGACCACTGAGGCCAGCCTAGAGTGTTGGCCTCACATTTGTGATCAGGTGATAGGAGTAAGTACTTACCAAACATGTTAAGTTCTGAAGGAACTGGTGCCCTCAAAGCTAAAATCTTTAGGACATGGGCCCCTTGCCCTAAGAGGACCTGGACAAGGGGAGCCCTGAGGCTTAGTTCAGAGGGCATAGTTGGGACTTCTCTAGAAATGTAGACAGTGGAGTGCACAACATGTACTCACCTGCCTTGCTCTCCTGCAGCCCCTGGGATGGGCTCCAGCTCCAAGTGCAAGATTATTCCTCCACGCATCCAACAAAGATGTACAATGTGCCTTCTAAGGGCCAGGCGCATGCGAGGCATCAGGATACATTAAAGAATAAGACACAATTTGGGGGGCAGCCCGCGTGGCCCAGCAGTTTGGCACCGCCTTCAGCCCAGGGCATGATCCTGGTGTCCCGGGATCGAGTCCCACATTGGGCAACCTGCATGGAGCCTGCTTCTCCCTCTGCCTGTGTCTCTGCCTCCCTCTCTCTCTCTGTCTCTGTCATGAATAAACAAATAAAAAATTTTTTTAAAAGACACAATTTTTGTCCTCGGGGGAGCGAGACTAGTAAAAGACAATTTGCAGGGGCTTCCAGTGGGACATGATGTCTCACCTGGGGACAAGGAAGAGAGAGAAGAGAATTTCCCAGGGCAGGAAAACAGCATGATTGAAGGCCAGGAGGTGACAAGGCACCATCATCAAAGTGCCCAGTTCATTGACAGGCATGGGGGCCGTAAGGGGAGCCTGGAGGGGCAAGCAAAAAACAGATGAGGTGTGTTCTTCTAAGCCACGGTTACCCTAAGAAAAATGCGGAGCCATGGAAGGATTTGGAACAAGGGAGTGACATGAATCAGATTTGCCTTTCAGGACATTCCCTCTGGCCCAGAGACAAAGAATGGAGTTGACAGAAGACCTGGCCTTGGGCAGTGAGTCGAAAGCAAGAAATGACAGCGGTCTGAACACTGGCGGGGCCCGGGAGGTCTCCAGCGGGGAGTCTGGCCTGGTGAGGCCCTGTTTCAGAGCGCCCTGATCAGAACCCCATGTCTGGATGCCTCCCTCCTCCCACCTTCTGCTGAGGTTGCTGGGAAAGTGAGGCGGGATCTCTGGCCCCTGGTCTTTCTCCACGCAGCCCATTACCTCCTGATTGCAGGAGCCTTGTAGTTAATGAACACTTAACAGACGCCTTGGGAAAGTCAGCTGCGGGAGAAAAATTCCACCCAAGAATCAGGCTCTTCTGAAGTTGGCGCAGTTATGTGATAATTGGTTAGATCATCCTTGTTGATTTTATGTGGTGCAAAGTGGGTTTGAAAAAAATTAAACCCTTAGGAAAGAAGAGGTACCTGGCACCCCACCACCACCACCAACAACAACAGTTACTTTGACTGGGTTTGGCTGTGAGGATGGGCTCATTAATTCCACAGCCTCTTTACCTGTTTAAAGGGGACCCTACCCTTTGGGCTCCTTCCAGAAGGTTCTCCTTCAGTTATCCACTCCTCTGCCTATATTTTCTCTCTCTCCCTCTTGACTGGCTCTTCCTGACTCTCATCTTGCTGAGCCTTCCCATGGACCCTGCATCTGCCAGGAAGGGGTCTTCCATTTGCCTCCAATTTTGCAAACCTCTTCCCTCTGAGGAGTATTGTCTGCCCCTCTTGGGCCCGCTTCCGGTCCTCCTCCAGGCCCTCCTCAGCTCACTGCCCTCACTCTGCCTGACCACAGCTGCAGACACTGCTCTGACAAAGGTCACCAGTGACTTCTAAATGCACAATCAATGGGCCGTTTCAGCCGCCTACTTTCTGGACCTCTCAATGGCATTTGACAACGCCACCCACTACCTTCCTGAAAGTCTCTCCTGTCTTGACTTCCCTGCATTCTGACCCCTCCTTGTCCATATTTGCTGCTTCTCCCTCTTCCATGCTGGCTCCTTTACCTATTCTCCCCTACCAACCCACATGGCCCCAAACCTGGCATTTTCCAGGACTCTGTCTCGGGTCTCCTCCCTTCTCCGTCCAGAAGTCTTCCCCTGGTGATCTTGGCCTCTCTTACTTTAACTGCTAATATTCGCTGTTGACCCAAATCTGCATTTCTTCCCTAGAACATCTCTCTTACTCTCCAGACCCATAGAGCCAATCAGCTGATTTCTAGGCATCTATACTGGGACTTTCCACGAGCACCTCAAACTCAACCTTGTTCATTTCTCCTTAAACTTGCTGCTCTTCATGTACATCCTTTCTGGTGAAAAGCCCAGCAGGTTACAGAAAACCTTTATGTCACTTAAGACACTGCTCTTTCTCACCTGCCCACACCCAATCTGGCACCAGGTCCTATCACCTCTACCCTTAAACAACTCAGACTCATGCCTTCCTCTTGTCCTTGAGGTCACTGGCCTCATCCTGGCCCTCTGCCTCTAGGCTGTCCCACACCCTAGCGCCACTCCACACCATAGCTAGAGCCATCTTCCTACGATGCAACCCGAAGTGGAACGTGACCTATGAGGATGAGGTGGCCCCAGCTGACCACTCAGAACCTCTGCAGCAGCAGCTCCACTGAGACACCAGGCTCTAGAGCCCAAGCTTCAGCCTGCAGGCCAGGGTGAACTTGGCCTTCCAGGGATAAACTCATCCTATTCACAGAAGCCAGGGCCACTTCATTCAAAGGGAAATAAGACCCACTGAGAGGAGCAGGGCCTGATGGTCCTGTCTCATGAGTAATTTTCCAAAAGAGACACCCTTCCAGCAAGTGTTTAGGGTATTTGACCTGACAGTGGTGAAGATTTGAATTAAAGGATATTGGAGGGCACAATGTGACAGCAGACATTTAGGGGTGGCATCTTTTATATACCAGCTCACCTACCAGCCAAGGCAAAGGGCTCTCCCCCCATCATGACCCACCTCTCCATATGAGAGCCTAGTGATACCTGACTGGAGTGAACGTTCTTAATTTCTGCTTGACAACACTGAGTAGGACAAAGAAACAAGAGTCACCATAACGCTGTGTTCTTAGCTGGGAGCTGAGACAGACAATAACTTACCAAAGAGCCCAGATTTGAGTCTCCTGGTTGGCACATTGCCTTGAGGTCAGGGCTAGGCCTTGACATTAGATTCTGGTTCCTCTCTCTCTCTCTCTCTCTCTCTTTTTTTTAAGATTGTATTTGTTTATGAGAGAGAGAGAGCATGAGTGGGGGCGGGGACAGGGAGAAGTAGACTCCCTGCTGAGCAGGGAGCCCGATGTGGGGCTTGATTTCAGGACCCCAAGATCACGACCTGAGTCGAAGGCAGACGCTTAACTGACTGAGCCACCCAGACGCCCCTGATTCTGCTCCCTTTTATTCTAAAGGTCACATGGCCCATTTCCAATGACCCCTTCCTGCCTTTGTAGTAGTAATCCTATTATCCCCATCTTGACTGCAAGAAATTCTCTAGTCCCTTGTGTCCCTGTTACTACTCAGTTGATGGGAGCACTGGGTGTGGAATCTGCTCCCCAACATTCAGGGGTAGGTGCTAAATGTCCTGTTTCTTTATGTTTCTATATCAGGCTCCGTGCCATTGTACCTAGTTGGTAGGAAATTCAATTATGGGCATGCTTGTGGGGGGTGATCGTCTTCAGGGTTAGGGAAGACTCTGTAGTCTGGGATTGGGGGGTGGTAGTCAGCTAGTCTTCAGGTGACAGCAGTCACCATGATTATGTTCACTTTCTGCGGCTCTGAGGCCAGCCTTGCTAGTGGGGTGATGGGAAGAGGGACCTGCCATCATGGTTGACCCACATCCACTTTCTCCTGTGCCAAAGCCCTGTATCCTCCTTTTTCTGTCACCCCAAAATAGCCCAGATGACCCATGAGATACTGGTTAAAGCAGTTGTTTCTGCGGAGGGAACCTGAGGGACAAAAGGGAAGTGCATTTGTCACTGTATATTCCTTTATGTTTTCTAGATTGTTTATCAAACATTTCGTGTTTGTTCATCAAAATGTTTTCCTTTTTTTAAATTAATTAATTATTTATTCAGGAGAGACAGAGAGAGAGAGACAGAGACATAGGCAGAGGGAGAAGCAGGCTCCCTGTGGGGAGCCCGACGTGGGACTTGATCCCAGGATCCCAGTATCATGACCTGAGCTGAAGGTAGATGGCCAACCATTGAGCGACACAGGTGCCCCCATCAAAATGGTTTCAAAAAAATTTTTTTAATTAAAAATATTTGGGCATGGCAGCCCCAGTGGCTCAGCGGTTTAGCGCCACCTTCGGCCCAGGGCGTGATCCTAGAGACCCGGGCTCGAGTCCCACATTGGGCTCCCTGCATGGAGCCTGCTTCTCCCTCTGCCTGTCTCTGCCTCTCTCTCTCTCTCTCTCTCTGTCTCTAATAAATAAATAAAATCTTTTAAAAATATAATTAAAAAATAAATTAAAAATATTTAAAATGCTTTTTTTCCCACAAAAGCTTCTGCAGAGTATGAAAACCAACTCAGCAAAAGAAAAAACCAGTTCCCATTTTCCTTGAGGACACTGAGGGCTTGCTTTGCTGGAACAAGGCATGACCCTGCCTTTCGCACCACTTTGGAAAGGGCGCCACTGCCCCTACCACTTTAAAGAACAAGGTAAAGGAAAACCCTTTGGGTTTCCATATCAAAATATAGCTGAATTGTCAGGTTCCTGGCTGGCTCAGTTGGTGGAGTGTGTGCCTCTGGATCTCCGGATTGTGAGTTTGAGCCCCACATTGGGTGTAGAAGTTACTTAAAAATCCAATCTTTAAAAACAAGAAAACAAGGGATGCCCGGGTTCTGGCTGGTAGCTGTTGAGGAGTAGGAGAGTGTGATGAGAAGCAGAACCTGGGGGGGAGGAGGAAATCCAGCTGGAGAGGTGTGGGCAGGCAAGTTTCACTTGCAGCCTGGTAGCAAAGAAAAAGATTCCACTGGAGGATAGAAGAAGAAACCAAGGACTGTCCTTTTCTGTCCATGTTACTTCTTTCTCTTGCCTCCCTCCAACTCTGTTATTTCCAAAACCCACCCTTCCCCCAACTTGGTTCGCCAACCCTGACCCTGACTGTTTGATTTGGAACAAGAGGACAGAGGCATATGTGGGCCACTTAAAGTCCAGGTTCCAACTTCAGCCCCACCTCCCGAGCTTGGCCTGACCCCTGGCCCCCTCCAGCTCCACCTCCACCCCCATACCTCCATCTGCCCCTGGCAGCTTATCTTTTTTTTTTTTTTTTCTGGCAGCTTATCTTCAATGTGCCCATCAGGCCTCTTGCCCAGCAGCACCGCTCAGAGACCAGGAAACTCCAGAGACTCAAAGACACATCCTGCACCCAGGTCCCATTGTCTTTTATCTTTCTATTTCCCATTCTTCGTAAGGATTCTGGAGCATAAGGACGGTGCAGGAGATTTAATTATGGCTATCTTCATTATTTTGTGCCTATGTAGTGTTCTGGTGACAGGCATGGGTGAAGGTGGAAGAGAGAAAGGAGTGGAGAGGGAATGTGAACCCAGCCAGCCCCTCCACTGCCCCACTGTGTCCCCCAGCGCCCAGCCCTGGACACACCCCGGTCAGAGCCAGCTGTTTGCAGACCTGAGCCGAGAGGAGCTGACAGCTGTGATGAGCTTCCTGACCCAGCAGCTAGGGCCAGGCCTGGTGGATGCAGCCCAGGCCCGCCCCTCGGACAACTGCGTCTTCTCCGTGGAGCTGCACTTGCCCCCCAAGGCTGCAGCCCTGGCCCACCTGGATAGGGGGAGCCCCCCACCTGCCCGGGAGGCACTGGCCATCGTCTTCTTTGGCGGACAACCCCAGCCCAATGTGAGTGAGCTGGTGGTGGGGCCGCTGCCTCACCCCACCCACCTGCGGGATGTGACAGTGGAGCGTCACGGGGGCCCCCTGCCCTATCACCGACGCCCCGTGCTGATCCGGGAGTACCTGGACATAGACCAGCTGATCTTCGACAGGGAGCTGCCCCAGGCTGCTGGGCTCCTCCACCACTGCTGCTTCTACAAACGCCAAGGACAGAATCTGGTGACGATGAACACAGCCCCCCGAGGTCTGCAGTCAGGGGACAGGGCCACCTGGTTTGGCCTCTACTACAACATCTCAGGGGCTGGGTTTTTCCTGCATCCCGTGGGGTTGGAGTTGCTAGTAGACCACAAGGCTCTGGACCCTGCCCGCTGGACCATCCAGAAGGTGTTCTTTCAAGGCCGCTACTATGACAGTTTGGCCCATCTGGAGGACCAGTTTGAGGCAGGCCTGGTGAATGTGGTGCTGGTCCCAGACAATGGCACAGGTGGGTCCTGGTCTCTCAAGTCCCAGGTGCCTCCGGGCCCAGCTCCTCCTCTGCAGTTCCAACCCCAGGGCCCCCGTTTCAGTGTCCAGGGCAGTCGAGTGAGCTCCTCATTGTGGACTTTCTCCTTTGGCCTTGGAGCTTTCAGTGGCCCCAGGATCTTTGACATCCGCTTCCAGGGAGAACGACTAGCTTATGAGATCAGCCTCCAAGAGGCCTTGGCCATCTATGGTGGAAATTCTCCTTCTGCTCTGCGAAGCCGGTATACAGATGGTGGATTTGGCTTGGGTCACTTCTCTTCAACTCTGACCCGGGGGGTGGACTGTCCCTACCTGGCTACCTATGTGGACTGGCACTTCCTTCTGGAGTCCCACACCCCCAAGACAATACGGGATGCCATTTGTGTGTTTGAACAGAACCAGGGCCTCCCCCTGAGGCGACACCACTCAGATATCCACTCCCACTATTTTGGGGGCCTTGCAGAGACAGTGCTGGTTGTCAGATCTGTGTCAACCATGCTCAATTATGATTATGTGTGGGATATGGTCTTCCACCCCAATGGGGCCATAGAAGTCCGACTCCATGCCACCGGCTACATCAGCTCAATATTCCTCTTTGGTGCTGCCCAAAGTTATGGAAACCAGGTTGGGGAACACACGCTGGGTACCGTCCACACCCACAGTGCCCACTTCAAGGTGGATCTGGATGTAGGAGGTAAGACATCCCTGGGGAAGCAAGGATTTCAGCAGAGGGGGCTGAGGTCTCCATGTCTAGCTTTAAGTATCCTCACTCAAACATTAAAAATATAGAAGCATATGGGGCAACTAGGCGGCTCAGTCGGTTAAGCATCTGCCTTCAGCTCAGGTCATGATCCCAGGGTCCTGGGATTGAGCCCCACATGGGGCTCCCTGCTCAGTGGGAGTCTGCTTCTCCCTCTCCCTCTGCCTCTTGCCTGTTTGTACTCTTGCATGTGTTTTCTCTCTCTCTCAAATAAATAAATAAAATATTTATATATATATATGTACATATATATATAAAAGCATATATAAAAGCAGAAGTAAATGTGAAAGTCAGATTCCTTATACTATATGTTGGCAAATCGAACTAAAATAAAAACAAAAACAGGAACAAAAAAAAAAGAAAAAGAAAAAGAAAAAGAAAGATTCCTCAGAGATTTTTACCCTTAGCAGATTGATTATTCTTCTATACTTAAAAAAAAATTCTTCCATATTTTTAAATATGTCATCTGCAATATTTAATAAATTTTAACGTTTATTATATTGTATACTATCTATAAATCTGAGATACTGATATAAATATTTAGAATTTGTATTACCAATTTGGATCATAAGGTATATATATTTTGCTATTTCTGTTTTTTCATGTAACAACCTGTCACTCATACAAGCAACAAATAGTTGAATTTTTTTTTAAGAAACATGGAGTGAGGAGAAGGGAAGAGGGAGAGGGAAAAAGAGAATCTTCAGTAGGTTCTACAACCAACATGGAGCCTAATGCAGGGCTCAATCTCATGACCTTGTGATCATGATCTGAGCTGAAATCAAGAGTCAGACACCTAACTAACTGGCTACCCAGGCACCCCATGAACACATATTTGTGTCAATCACTGCACTAATGCAATTTAACAAAAGAAACAACATCCTTGCTCTCAAAAAGCTTACATTCTAATGTAGGAGTGGAGAACATGTGGAGTGCCTTGAAAAATGTGTATGATAGAAACATTTTTATGATTAACTGCTCTGTACTTCAGTTTACCCAAGTGTAAAAATGATGTAACCATGCATTCTTCATTAAGACTATTTGAGGATTAATGATGAGTACTTTAAAACACTTTCTCTTAAAAAAAAAAAAAAACCAACTAATTTATTTCAGTAATCTCTACACCCAGTATGGGACTCTGAGATTCACAACTCTGAGATTGTGAGTCACAGGCTCTTTCAACTGAGCCAGCCAGGTGCCCCCCAAAACACTTTCTCTTTTGAAATATTTTAGAATTAGGAGGGCACCTGGGTGGCTCAGCTGTTCGGCTCAGGGCATGATCCCATGGTCCTGGGATCGAGTCCTGCATAGGGCTCCCCATGGGGAGCCTGTTTCTCCCTCTGCCTATGTTTCTGCTTCTCTCTGTGTCTCTCATGAATAAATAAAATCTTTTTTAAAATTTTAGACTTAAGAAAATTTGCAAACATTGTCCAGTTCCCATGTACCCTTCACCCAGCTCCCCATAATGTTAACATCTTACCTAACCCAGCATGGCAATCAAAGCCAGGAGATTAGCATTATTACAGTACTATTAACTAAACAACAGACCTTATTAGGGTTTCATTAGTTCTTTCAATACCTCTCTTTTTCTGTTTCAGGATCTAATCCAGGATCCCACTGTGCATGTAGGTGACTTTTCTCCTTAGTTTCCTCCAATCTATGACAACTTCTTAGGCTTTTCTTGTCTTTCATGACCTTGACCTAAGGAAGAAATTGGTCATTATTTTGTTTTATTTATTCATGAGAGGCACACAGAGAGAGAGGGAGAGACACAAGGCAGAGGGATAAGCAGGCTCCATGCAGGGAGCCTGATGTGGGACTCGATCCCGGGTCTCCAGGATCTCACCCTGGGCTGAAGGCAGCACTAAACCGCTGGCCCACCCCGGCTGCCCTTGGTCATTATTTTATACAGTGTTTCTCAAATTGGATTTCTCTGTTATATTCTCATGTTTAGATCAATATTGTACTTTTTTTTGCAAGAATTATTAATGCAAATAATTTAATAGATAATTTAATTAATGTATTAATTTGCTGGCCATTTCAAAACTTTTCCTTATTCTTTACCCATTTATTAACTAGAATTCTCCATAAGGAAAAGTTATCCTCCTTTTACGTTTATTTATGTGTGTAGTTATTCATAACTGCATAGATTCATGGATATTTATTTTATTCTAAGGGTTATAACCCAGCAGTATCATTTATTTTGTTCCTTGAACTGTTCCAGTGTTGGCCATTGGAAAATGCTTCTGGTTGGTTCCTGTGTCCTTTTGACATGACTCCATCCTTTTTTGAGTGCTTCTTTACTTTTTGACACCAATATCTGTTCCAGTTTGATCTTGCATTTTTGCTGCTCCAGCCCTGGAATCCAACCACCTCTCCAAGGAGCTCTGGTTCCTTTTTATTGGAGGATACTATTTAGAAACCAAAACCTGGGTACCAGGAGTGCTCATTATCACTGGATGTCATTGCTTTGAGGCTCGCTCATTGGACTTAGCTAGAAAATATATGTATACATTCTACCTGGCACATACTTCTCTCTTTATCTCCACACCTAAGTGAGGATGTCTCTTCAAACACTTTGAATGGCGCCTGACATGTAGTAGGGAGTGTTAGCCATTGTTGCTGTGGTCATTGTCTACATGAGCCCACTGTGTAGAACTAGAAAGAGCCCACTAGAAAGAACTCTTGGCCTTTAATTGTCACCTATGAGTAGAAACCCTGAGGTGTGGACGGGGGGCAGTGAATCTGCAAAAGGCAACTGAGAGTCTACTTATTTCGTCTCTGCTCTCTTCTGGTCCTTGGAGGTATGAAGAGAGCTTTGGCATGTGTTTATTGCTCTTTGGTTTCAGATCACTTAAGTTGACTGCTACTATACCTAGTTAGATACTGATAAAATCATTCATGCCTTTGGCCCTGCTCTTAATTCCTTGCCAAGCCTCAAATGATAGGAAACACTCCCAAACTCCAGCAACATTGGGCACAGGCTCTGATTTTCCTTCCCTCTGGCCCGCATGTCTGCTGTCTGTGCGTGGTGGGGCCTCTCTATGTTGCTTTCCTCTGTGTGCTGCTGTGTGGGCCATGTAGACCCAGAGTAAGACCTGGGTCCCCAGCACTACCACCATACTAACCACATTCCCTTGATGACAAACGAGAACACATTCCTTAAATTCTCAAAGTCTCAGTTGTCCCATCTATACAATGGGGACAAATGTAGTTCCTCCTTCATAAGGCTGTCATACAAGTAAAGCATCAATGCCATGCCAGTGTAGAGCTCCTTGAGGAGTAATAAATGTGAGATACAGCTACTATTATTTTCATGATAAGGGTGTTCTGGTGATGCTATAGGGCTTCAGACATGAGACATAGACCCTTTCCTTGGGTCAGAAGGAATCTGACTCTGCACATTGCCTGCTAGGCTGCTCTAACCTTGTAGGCCCTCAAAGGGAGAAGTCAGGGAGGTCCAGTCACAAGGTATCTGAGATTATTACCAGAGATGACATTAGGCAGAAAGACCTTCTCCAAATCTTTGGATCCAGGATATAGCTTGAGGAGAGGGAAGGGAAGAAGGGGCACAGTCAGTTCTGGGTTTCTCCTTGGCCCCCACTCTGAAGCTGTGAGTGGTGGGCAGGAGACACAGTCCAGAGGGGACAGGGCAGCAGCGTGACCAGCCCTCCCTCCCACCTCCACCCCACCCTGGCAGGACTAGAGAACTGGGTCTGGGCTGAGGACATGACCTATGTCCCCACGGCGGTACCCTGGAGCCCCGAACACCAGATGCAGAGGCTGCAGGTGACCAGGAAGCTTCTGGAGACTGAGGAGCAGGCCGCCTTCCCCCTGGGGGGCACCCCACCCCGTTACGTGTACCTGGCCAGCAACCACAGCAACAAGTGGGGTCATCCACGGGGCTACCGCATCCAGTTGCTCAGCTTTGCAGGGGAGCCGCTGCCCCAGAACAGCTCCCTGGAGAGAGCCTTCAGCTGGGGGAGGTGAGTGGCGGGTTGTCAATGGCTGGAGGGGGTGGACTGTAAGAAGGGCCCATGTTGCTGAGAAGCTACCCCACCTTCTGTGGGTGTGCAGGCACATACACAATCACACACACACACACACTCCTGTGGCCACAATCTTAGTGCCACTCAAAACGAAGCCTACTGTATGGATGGAGAGATGGAGAGCTCCAAGCTAACTCAAATATAAAAAAATGTTGAAGGTGGAATCTAGGTTGGAGGTACATGGCTGTTCACAGTGCCATTCTTTCAGCTTTTCTGCATATTTCAAATGTTTGCAATAAAAGTTGGAGGAAAAAACAAAGAATAAGAGAGGAACACAGAGGGATCTGAGGGAATATGCCCTAAAATCTGGGCATTTGACATCATGGAACTGACTCAAGATGGGAATCACTCTAGACACATGCATCCAGGGTGCGGGCTCGGATCTGGATGGATGTGTGAGGATGACTGTCCTTTCTGAGGTCTGAACAATGGGCCGGTTGGTGTTGGAGAAACGGGGTATTGAATAAACTCAAGAACGCTATGGGACAGAGAGAGAGAAAGAGAACAAGTGTACAGAGACTGATAAAGAGGCTCGACACTGTGAGACCTTTGTGCTAGTTTCCCCCTGTGCTCCCTCTTCAGGGTGGCCTCGGGCAGTAGGACAGGTTGATGACCTCGGGACCTAATCCACATCTCCCGTAGGTACCAGCTGGCCGTAACGCAGCGGAAGGAAGAAGAGCCCAGCAGCACCAGCATCTACAATTTGAATGACCCTTGGACTCCCACTGTGGATTTCACTGACTTCATCAACAACGAGACCATTGCAGGGCAGGTCAGCTGAGAGGGAGGAGGAGGGAGAGGCGAGAGGGGGAGGTGAGGCAAGCAAGGATGAGCTGCCTGGTTCACTCCCAAGCCAGATTCCTTGGGGGTCTTTAGAACCTACTAAGAAAAAAAGCCAAAAATCAAAAACAAAGAAAACTTTGTGATTTCACGTTTCTCCTGGGTTAGTGAGCTGAATCCTCACATCCGAGGCTACTGTAGGAGGCAGGTATATCTTTCACAAAGCCAGGCCTCAGGTCCTCTTTCTTCTCCCTTGCCAGGACTTGGTGGCCTGGGTGACAGCTGGTTTCCTGCACATCCCTCATGCAGAAGATGTTCCCAACACAGTGACTGTGGGCAATGCTGTGGGCTTCTTCCTCCGACCCTACAACTTCTTTGACCAGGACCCCTCCTTCGATTCTGCAGACTCTGTCTATTTCCAGGGGAACCAGGATGCCGGGGCCTGCGAGGTCAACCCCCTGGCTTGCCTTCCTCAGTCTGCTGCCTGTGCCCCAGACCTCCCTGCCTTCTCCCACGGGGGCTTCTCTCACAACTAGGGGTCCCCCCAGGATGGGGAATGTGGCCGGCGCCCCAGGGCCAGGGTGTGTGGGGAGGGGAACAGTGGGCCCCAGGCCAGGCGGCCTGGTGCCTTCTTCTCCTACCTTCCACCACAAAGCTCCTCACCTCCCCTTCTCCCCAGGCCCCCTTTCTATCGCCCTCCCTGACACCCTCTCCCTGCTGGGAGCCTCCTGAGCCTGTGATGCCTGGCACTGGGGGAAGGGCAGAGACACCAGTCAGCTTTGTGGTCACTGGACCTGCTGGGTTCCTGTGCCAGAAAGAATGGCCCCCTGAAGCCGGGACTAAAGGCCAAACTTTTCCCAAAAGACTCCTATTTCTTCTAACAGTTTTTTAATCTTACTTTTTTTAAAACAAAATATGATTCACATGCCATTAAATCCATACTCTTAATATGTCAAGTTAGAGGTTTTTAGTGTATTTACAGAGTTGTGCAACCACCACCCCTATCCAATTCCAGAGTGTTTTCATCATCTGAAAAAGAAACCCAGACCTGTCAGCACTCACTCTCTTTTCCCTCCAACCCCTTCCTGGCTCTAGGCAACTACTTGTCTTTCTGTCACTATAGATTTGTGTATATTCTGGACATTTTGTATAGGTTCATACGGTGTGTGGTCTTTTGTGATTGGCATCTTTCCCCCAGCACCACGTTTCTGAGGCGCATCTGTGTCTTAGCAGGTGTGGGTACTTCATCCTTTGCAGCTGAGCACTGTTCCACTGCACAGAGAGACCACATCTTGTTCACCCATTCTTCCACTGATGGCCATTCGGGTTGTTTCCTTTTGTAGACAATGCTGCTGTGAACATTCATGTACAAGCTCTTGCGTGGACATATGTTTTCATTTCTCTTCGGTCCACACACCTGAGCATGGAACTGCTGGGTCATAGGGTCATTCTATGCTTAACCTTTTGAGGAACCGAACACTGTTTTCCAAAATGATGGGATCATTACTTTTCCTTTCTTCTTTTATTGTGCTAAAACCTACATTACATCAAATGTACAATTTGATCATATTTATTTATTTATTTATTTATTTATTTATTTATTTTACATTTATTTTTACATACATTTATTTACTTATTTATTTATTTATTCATTTATCCATTCATTCAAGATTTTATTTCTTCATTTGCGGGAGATTAAGAAAGAGCACGAGGCAAGGGGAGGCAGAGGCAGAGGCAGAGAGAGAAGAAGGCCCCTGCTGAGCAGGGACCCCCATGTGGGACTCCATCCCAGGACCCTGAGATAATGAGCTGAGCCGAAGGCAGGTGCCCAACCAACTGAGCCTCCCAGGCACCCCCAATTTGATCATTTTTAGATGTGCAATTCAGTGTCATTACGTACATTCAGAAACTTTCTGGGGCCTGCCCAGTTCCTCCTCTGCCCTTGGGTCTAGAATTTGAAGACAAGGCCTCTGTAGACCAGCTGCTCTTTCGAGTACTAGGGCAGGGTCCCCACTAGGCCTGTGTCCCTCTTATTCTAGCACTTTCATCATCCTCCCTTTGTTCCTCCTCCTTTCCCTCCCCCTCCTCTTGCTAATTCAGCTTCTACTCCCTGGCATTTCTCTTCTTTTACTACCTGAATAAAAATATTCCTCCTGTCATCTTGTCACCTGTCTATACTGCCAAATAATCCTCTTCCGAGTTCCTGCCATGGACGTAGACCATGTGGCAATTGCTTTTGAGAAGGAGTAGGATGGTCAAGTGACAGTAGCAGTTCAGGGGGTTTTGTGGGTGGAATGTTCCCAGGGCCTTGAGTGACAGTGGCCCCCATTGCTGTGCAGCAGCCAGTATAGGTGATGAGAATGCCACCAAAGAGAGGAATCAGAAAGCATCAGGAGCATGGTCCCCTGGCCAGGAGCTGTCTGATCAGGGTGGGCATGCCAACGAGCCAGGGGTGTCCCGGTGGGGACCAGCCTGGTCTGGTCAGGCAATAGTCCCCAGGGGCTCCCAACCCCACTGGCCTTCCTTCAGTGTGGACTATGGATGGGCATAAATAAGAACTGGAATGTTTTCCAGAAAAGAATTTGGGGGCAGGAGTACGGTAGGGAGGAGGTAAGGCTCACAGACCTCCAGATCAGAGAAACCCATGGGGTAGAGGGTGTCCACATCTCTGCTTCTACAGCTTACCTACTTCTGTCAGTCTCTTTTCTAAGAAATGGGGTTGTGGGGTCAGGAAGAGAGGGGATTCCCTCCCCAGGAGGAAGTCCAGGACACCGACCCAGTCCTAGGCAAGGGCAGGCTGTGGCAAAAGGGTAAATAAGGGCACAGAGATTTGGGTCCAGCTCAGCTTATGACCAGAGAGAAATAGGAAACCAGGAGCTCAGACACCATGGAAATCTTGTGCTTCCCTCAAGAACCGCCTACACCCCCAGGCTCAAGCAGGTGAGCCAGAAGGAACTAAGTTCTGACAAATGGACCTCCATACAAAGGCTAAAAGCCATGGCAGCCATGTTCTGGATTCAAGAATAGCAATGATATGGTGAAGAGCGTTCAGCTGGAGAAGGGGTTAAGGCAGAGCTGCTTAAGACAGTTTGCTGATGCTTCATTTTATTTCTAGGCTCAGTGATTTAGTGTTTCTTTATCCTCTCAGCCCAGATAAATATCCTCTTTTGACTTTCTTGTGTTTTCCTGTGTGAAAAAATTTGAACCGCGATGGGTATAGACGCTATCCTCTTGCTTCCCCACCCCTGCACCCCCCACCCCCCGACCCCCACCCCCCACCCCTGTCACCAAGCAAATGCTAAGGAGGAGCCACGGATGCTTCTCCCGGCTGTTCCAGCTCTGCTTCTCCACATGCAAGGATAGGGAGAGGGGACCTGCGCCCCCAGGCTGAGGTCTGAGTGAGGGTCTCTGCTACTGTGGCCACCTGCCAACCAATGAGTGCTGTGATGGGGCTCCCCACTGGGGTCAGAGGGAACAATTTGAGACACTCTAAAGAAGTATGTGCACAGGAACTCTCAGGAAAAGCCCCAACACAGCCTTGTTGGTAGGCCTTACTGGGGACACACTCTACCCAGCCACAAGAAAAAGAGCATCCAGACCCTGAGGAATGTAGCCCAGAGAGATCCAAAGGGTCAGAGCAGCAAAGTTGTAGGGGGAACCTGGTGAGTGGGAAAGAATGTGGGCCCTTCTAGGGACTGTTGGACCTACAGATCCCACTGAAAGAACCTCACCCACCACACACACACATACACACACACTACCCACATGAGCAGGCCTCCTAGTAGCACCCGCTTTGTGTCCCCATTCTAGCACTTGGCCCATGGCTGATGGTTAGCCATGTTTGCTCCACTCAGGATCTGCAGCTTCTGTAGAATTCTTCTTCTTCCTCCCCATATCTGGATTCTGTGAAGAGAAATTGATTATAAAGCTTTTATCCATGGCATGTTTCTCATACTCCTTGACCTATGTCTATGGGCCAGAATATGATGGGTGGGGGTCCCTTTCTTAAGGATCCTCAAAGAGAGTGAGGCTTCAGCCTTTCCTGCTTCCTCCATTGAAATGGAGCCAGGATGGTGGAGACTACCATAGATGAGCTAATTTCCATCTGTTGCCTCACATCAACCTTGAGAAGCAGATATTATTATTCCCATTTTACAGATGAGAAAACTAAGAGGCAGAAGGATTAGGTATCTTGCCCCCAAGTCATCTGGCTAGTAAGCATGGGGCTGGGATTGAACCTAGGTCTTTGTGCAGTTATATCTGACTGCTTTCTCCTATGCCACTGCTCTTCTTCACTGCCTAGCAGGCCTGGTGAAAGAATTCAACAAGGTGATGCTTGAGTGACATCATTGAACTTGGCACCTGACCCATGGTAAGTGACCCTCTAAGAGCAAAATCAACACTCAATGGACCAAAGCAGAAATATGCACAGTTGCCTTAAAGCAAAAGCTCTCAACCTTGACTGTGTATTAAATCATTGGTGGAACTTGTAAAACTCTACATACTCAGGCTGTACCTCAGACCAATAAAATCAGGACCTCTGGGGGTGAGGCTCAGATATTAGCAGCTTTTAAATCCCGCCCACACCCTCCCCCCTGGTAATTCTAACATGCATCCAAGGTTGAGAAAACCCTGGGACTGTAGTTCCGTTTCAAGACTGCCAGAGGAGGCTTGATACAGAAATATATACAGAGAATGTGTCTTAGATATATAATGTATTCATCAGAAGGCACAGAAAAGGAGCATTACAGAGTCTGTCCTGGCAGGACAATCTGAGCATGTCGAGAACAGAGGACCTGGCTTAAAGCTGGGTATATCCAGCCCCAGAAGTACATTAGCCACTTGGAGGACATTAGCACAAGAAACTGTCAAACCTATCTCATGAGCAACTGCTGATTCTGACTCACAGCTCCTTGGGCCAGCTTCCCACCTTGGTCATGGGAAGAAAATGGGCAAATCAATTATATCTCTTGTGTAAATGAACTAATTGGTAGTCTGATAAAAATTGGCTTTTGCTTTGACAGCCACTGTAAATGAAGATTAGCCTGCAGGTGTTACTTTCATAAATTTAGATCCTCCCTGAAAGATGATCCCCCTTGGTGATCTGATGAATCTGGTTTCTGATTTACGTCCCTCCCTTGCACTATGGCAAATTCACCAAGGAACCGTCATGGAGTGACTTGAAGACATCAGCCAGACTCTCATGCCACAACCCACCCAGCCTTGCCTGGACTTCATATATAACTTCTAGAGCAGAAACTCACTGTAGGCAAATCCCTACCCTCCTTCCCTTCTTCCCCTACAGTTTTTCCTTGGCCAACTGATCCTTATAAATCTTCAGAACTCCTTGGGGTCGCCTGGGTGGCTCAGTCACTAAGTGTCTGACTCGATTTTGGCTCAGGTCGTGATCTCAGGGTCATGAGACTGAGCCCCACGTCAGGATCTGCACTAGGTGTGGAGTGTGCTTAAGATTCTCCCTCTCCCTCTGCCCCTCCACCCTCACTTGCAAGCACCTGCTCTCTCTCTCTCCATCCCTCTCTAAAAAAATAAATGTGTAAACAAATCTTCAGAGCTCCTTACTCCCTGCCAGACATATGAGGTCATTCACAAACTGGTTTCAGCACTCCTGCCATCCTGATGCCCAGCACTCCAGATGCCCCAACCACATATCCTTCCCCAGTCCATTCCTATCCACTCACACTTCTACCCATGCACACCCTCCACTTCCTTCCTCTGGTTCCTCCCTCTTCCCCCTTCCTCCCTCTTCCCTCACTTATTCATCCTCTAAAACCCAACTCAAGTAACACCTCCTGAGCAAATCTAGTTGCTTTGTTCTCCCTGTTTTCTTGGTACTTTGGACAGAACCCTACAAAAGAGGTTCACCTACTGAATTCTAGTTCATTATCTATGCAGATCCTCCCTTCACTTCCCACGCAAAAGACTGAGCCCATGTCCTGTTGGCCTCACTGTCCTGGTGCCTAGGATGGTGTCATGCCCATTAGGGGTGCTTAAATATATCTTTGTTGAAATCTGAACAGTAACTCTTGTTATATCCAAGTAATTCTCTGTCTTGTAAAAATCCATTTCATATCCAATTTTTCCTTTTTGACTACTTCAAAAGGGATGATATAAGAAAGCCCAAAGATTCCAAGTGAAAAATCAGCCTGACTATACAGGTTAAATCAGGACATGGGGCCAAAGGGCGACACTGACACGCCAACCCTGAGCATTCCCTCTCCAGATGAGACTGGCATTGCTGGAACCAACAATTCAGCAAAGGTCACAGGAAGTGGGGAGATGGGATGGAAGGGTTTCTGAGAAGGTGGACACTGGCAGATCTCTAAATCTGTACCCCATGCTGGGCTTTTCCTGAAACAGATAAGAGAAGCCCAGAGCCTGGGATAGATCCAAAGAAGTATGGGGTGAGAGAGTTAGAGGGAGAGGCTGAGCATTGGACCCCCAAATGCTATAGAATTTGGCATGCATGTGGGAAAGGGTGTTTGTGAGGCAGCAACTCAATGAGTTCATGTTTTCCTCATTCTGCAACGTGGTGTAGTGTTCATAGTCTGGCTTCTAGAGCCATATTGCTGGCCTTTGGATCTGGCAAATGTCACACTTTGGGCAACATTAAATATGTTTTAAACATTAAATATGTTATATTTCTCTGCACCTCACTTTCCACACCTGTAAGATAGGGACAGTAATAAAATCCACCTTGGAATTTTTACGATGATTAAATGAGTTAATCCATGTAATTTTCCAAAACCAGTTCTTGACATATAGTAAATGCTCAATGAATACAAGACAGTATTTAATAGTTTATTAACCAGGATCTGCAGGGCATTTCTGTTACTGCGTAACAAACCACCTTGAAGCTTAATGACTTAAAACAACAAACCATTTTATTTTCTCATTATTCCATGGGTCAACTACCTGGGCTGGGCTCAGAGGGGAAGTTCTTCTGCTGGAGTCACCCAGGATTACTCACATAGCCGCAGATATCTGGCAGATGGACTGGACCTGGATGGTCTCAGATGGTGTCACTCACATGTCTGGTGGCTGGGGCTGGCTGTCAGGTCACATGTTACAACAAAGAGTCTCAGCAGATCAGCCTTGACTTCTTTCCTTTGTGGCCCAGGTTTCCAACTGCAGCCCAAAAAGGACAAGCTCTAGTGAGTGAATGCTTTCCAAGCCTCTATTTGCATCACATTTCCTAATGTCCCATGGGCCAAAGCACAAGATCAAGCTCAGATTCAAAGGATGGAGATGTAAACTTCACATCTTGATAGGAAGACCGGCGAAGTCAAAATGCAAGAGGGCATGTGTCAGTGATGGAAAGAACCATCTGTAGATACACAGGCTACTATGCTGACATTAGATATACAAGCAGAGCTCAGTTCTGAAGGCTGGAAGGGATGCTTTCGTGGCCCTCGGAGCTCAGGATAGCAGGAAGAGAGTTGAGACATATGCAAAACAACTGCAATGCAAGGTTTGAACATGATAAGTGCCCCAAGATAGGAACAGTTAAGTGCTAGGGAAACTCAAGTCAGTGTGATCCTTTCCAGCTGAGAATGGGTGAGCATTAGTGCGTTGGGAAGGCTTTATTAGCTTTCCCTTGAACGTGGTTAGAATCTGGACACATGGGGATGGGAAAAATTGCATTCCGGTGGAGGGAAGAGCAAATCTAGGAAAACCAAGGTGCATCTGGGAAATCCAAACCCAACTGCTATACAACTAGAGTTGGGTCCATAAAGGAGAGATTGGAAACATGAGGCTAGAAAAATAACCTGGGGTCTGATTGTGAGCAAGCTTGAATTTGAGCTTCATTCTGAAGGCGATGAGGAGCCACTGAATATTTTTCAGGTGACAAGCGAGAAGAACTGTATTTTAAGAAGGCTCTTTTGTGAGTAGTCGATCAGGTGGCTTGGGCTGGGAGCAAGAAGTAGAGTAAGAGATCATTAGGTAAGGGAGTGACTAGCAGGTCTAGGCAGAGAGACTGACAGGGAGCAGTCAGAGTAGAATATATACGGTCAGAGCCCAATGCCGTGGCATCAAGGATGACTCAAAAGTTGCCAGGTTCAGTGCCCAGAGGATGGCAGAAGAAGAGATGTGTATACAGAACAAGAAAGTCTGGAGGAGGAACAGGTCTGGAAGGAACTCATGAATTTGGGACTGTATGGGACATCCAGGTGGTGTCCAAGCAGAGTCCAGCATCATGCCAGGGGAGGAAGAAGAAGAGAAAGGAAAGGAGAGCTTGCTGGAGCAACACTGGACACAAAGAGAGTGAACATTTCAAGGCAGCTGTCAGAAGTGTCAGATGTGGCCAAAAGATCAAGGAAGGAGAAGGAGGAGAAAAGGCCAACCAGCAGATTTGACAGTGAGCAGGTCACAGTGACTTCCCAGTAGAGCAGAGGAGACAGCTTGCATGGGGCTGAGGAGGGAGCAACAGGCTTCCTGGCTTTCTGGAATTCAAGGCTGGAGAGATCCCCTGGACGTATTTGACCTCAGGACCATCCTCCTTCCACCTCAAATCTACTAAAGTGAAAGAAATCTTTAAAATCCTAAAAATAAAACAAATACCGTCTTTCCCTTTCATCCTAGAGGAGGGAGGGACGCAAGACTCTCCCTGCCTTTCTCTGTCTCCTGCCTGCTGGCCAGAGATCCCGCCCTGTCAGGACTCGTGTCCAGGGAGACAGGCGTTGGCGGGACAGCCGGCTGTTTACTTCCTAGCAGAGCCCTGCTGTGTTTTCATAGCTCAGAATAGTTCCTTGGCCCTCTGCAGGCCTGGGGGGTGGGGAGACCTCACTGTTTGTTTTCAGGACAATTCCAGGCCTCACCTCTTCCTCTTTCTCTGCATTGTGGTCCTCATTTGGGAATTCTCAGAGGGGGTAAGGTGCGGGCTAAGAGGGTCCAAGACTACTGATTTCCTAATTATCTCCCCCCAGCCGAGCTCCGGAAGAGGGAAGGAGTAATAACCGGCTGTGCAACACGGTGTTTGGGTTAGGAAGAAAATACTGTGGCCATTAAGGAAAGAGTTGATTAAAAGACTGCAGGGCAGAGCTGGGGGAGAGAATGATGTGGGGCGCCGAAGAGGGGGAGGGGACGGCCCCCTCCTCCAGTTTAGATCCAGGCTGGCTGCCAGCCTCTATGTGTGTGTGTGGGGGTGCCTCCCCTCCACTGAACACCCTTGAGAGCTGTCTGGACTCCTGGCGCCCCGCAGGCCTTGGGGTGCTGCCTGTGGCAGCGCTGGTGTCTAGAAGGTGCCCAGAGGTGGGAGGAAGAAGCGGCTTCACTGAATATGCCTTTGAACTCTGAATTTTTAAAAACTATGTGACTGTGTTGCTTTTTTTTTTTTTTTTTAATAATCTCTACACCCAGTGGAAAGCTCAAACTCACCTCCTGGAGATCAAGAGTCTCCCCCTCCACCAATGGAGCCAGCCAGGTGCCCCGTGACTATATTACTTTCAAAAATATTTTAGTTGGGGCTCCTGGGTGGCTGAGCAGTTGAGCACCTGCCTTGGGCTCAGGTTGTGATCCCAGGCGTCCTGGATGGAGTCCTGCATCAGGCTCCCCATGGGGAGCCTGCTTCTCCCTTTGCCTATGTCTCTGCCTCTCTCTGTGTCTCTCATGAATAAATAAATAAAATCTTAAAAAATGTGTTTTAGTTAAAAAGATATTAATCCATTTGTCTTTTCCTTCTAGCAATAATGAATCATTGACTTCTGTTAAGTCATTAAAAATCAGGCACCACTTCACTAGAGCTACTTTCAATGGAGCCCCAGAGACTCAGGTATGTTAACCCAGAATGCAGGGTGATAGTCACCAAGTCTTATTTAACTGTTGACAAAAGTAAAACCCAGACAACTGTAGAGACTCAGCCAAAGTCACACAGCTCTTTAATCTTCCTTTGCAACCTTTTATTTTCCTTTTAAATTCTAGTGATAGTAGTGGAAGAGAGACCATCTCCTGGGCTGCCCCCACCCCCACCCTGCTGGAGGCCCAACAATGTTTCGGAGAATCTCCTAAGGAAAACCAAAAGTCTCCTTCTGCCCCACACTCACCTCTACCCAGCAGCCCCCAGCTCACTCCACCTCCCAGCAGGCTGAGCTCTGGCTGCATAGGACTTCGTTTCCCTCTTCCCTCCCCTTCTTCTTTCCTCTGTCCCAATTCTTTCAAAGAATTTCAAAGAATCCGTGAGAAGAAGCAAGGAGGGATGGCAGGTTGGGGCTGGATCCTTAGCTTGAGTCACATTTCCTGTCTGTCCTCAGACAGCCCATCTTTGCCTCTGAGGTACAAACCAGAATAAAGGGGAAAATGAGCTTTCTGCAAATAGTTCTGACCACTATTAGGGACTTTGTTCCCTTGCCTCTGCCTTTGCAGTGCACCATCAACGAAGTTTAACTCCGGGCAGGAAGGATCTAATTAGGGGCAAGAATATGTCCCAAGGGCCTGCATGATTTGGCACTGCCAAAGGGTCAATGAAGAGTGGAAAAATTGTCTACCATCTGGCGGTGAGGGGGCTGCTTGACCATTTGTGGAAACAGGATGTTCTCTGGAGGGAACAAGAGCTTCTCTGGGGAGGATGGTTAAAGAAGATGCGGGAAGGCAAAGGATGGTCTGTCTATGCCTCCAGAAGGTTCTCAAGATTGATCTGATGTTGGTAGAAGGCAGACCCTGGGGTGGCAGAGGAAGGCAGTGAGTGGGGAGTTGACTGTTTACGATGAAGCAAATGCCCTCCAGTATTTTTCTGTGGACAAAATGTCCAGCCCATCCTGAGACATGGACCATGCTCCCCCCACCTGGTCAATAGATGCACAGTCCAAGGTCCCAAAGCTGAACTTTCTCACCATGCCAGAGATAAGTCAGCCATTTTCACCCACTAACAATGATTAACCCACCTCTCCCTCCACCTGCTTTTCCCAACATATTTTCGTAAAGTTTGAACTGGGTCACTCACTGAAAAAGGTGACAAGAGTCAATCTGCCCAGTGTCTACTGTCTACCCCTAAACACCTTACCCCCACTGGTCACTTGGTAGGAAAAAAAAAAGAGAAAACAAAGACATTTTATTAATTTTTTAAAATATTTATTTATTTATTTATTTGACAGAGAGAGAGAGAGAGCACAAGCAGGGGGAGCAGGAGGCAGAGGCAGAGGGAGAAGCAGACTCCATGCCAAGCAGGGACCCCGATGAGGGGGCTCGATCCCAGGACCCTGGGATCATGACCTGAGCCGAAGGCAGATGCTTAACTGACTGAGCCACCCAGGTGCCCCCAAAACAAAGACATTTTTTTAAAATACAACTGTATCTTATGCAGTTTGAGCTGTCATCCTTCAGAGAAGTCTACCCTGCTCAAAGCCCTGGATGGAAGCTGGGTTTCACAGCTCTGCTACTGTGTGCGGACAGGACCCTGTCTAGTGATAACAGCTGAGTTAGGCAAAGGCAGTTCCTTCCTCAACAGAACCCAGAGCCCCCACCAGAATAGAGGACTTGGATGCAGGTGAAGTCCGCATTTCTTTTTGGTAAGAAATTTTTGGCTCCCTTTCCTCTTTACTTTCCTGTCGGCAAATAAACTTGTTCGAGTGAGTGAGTCAATCTTGTTCTTGGAGAAGAAGGTGCCAGGACACTGGAACCAGCTGTGCTTATTTAAAAACAGACCAGACTGTACTTTCTGGCCTCTTTCCTTCGTGTTCTTCCCAAACCAAGATCTCTAAGCCTTTGAGTTTCTGTTTGTGGAGAAAGTGCCTGAGGAGTGCCCAGCTAGTGTACCTGTCAAAGAAGGGGGGGGCCTCTATAATTTTCCATCGTCATTGCTTCCCAGATTCAGCTGGTCATTTTCCCAGAGGGCGTTTAAGTCTTGAGTCATCTCTACTGAGGACAAAATAATAAGAATTCATTTATATTTGTACACATGGATTCAGCTTTAATTTAAGGATCCTCCAGTTGACGTAGCTGTTAAACGCCTGGCCTCTCTGCCCCACTTATATTGTCGAGGTCCCTGAGAACACAGGGCTTTAACTTTGAATCCTCAGAGAGCCAGGTGAGGTGCTTGGCTCAGGCAATGTTTGTTGAATTAAACTAAAGAACTTCTTGAAAAGAAAGATGACAGGAGTTAGGGGAAATGATGGAGCCCTGCCTCTACAAGACAGGTCTCTAGGTGAGTGGATCCTCACCCAAATCTCTAGCAACTCACATACTCTGTCCACAGTATTCACCTCAAGTATCCTCAAATCTTTTGAGATCTGAGAACTCTACAATTTCTCTTCAGTCAGCTTTCTACCAGCCTCAGGTATCTTTAGGGCCTCATTCTTTCTGCACATGATAAAAATTTACTGGAGGTGGCAGAAAGGAGCTGGAAAGTGGAAGGTAAGAACTAGCAAATGGTCTCATGATGTACACAATTGCTCTGACCAAGAGGGTCCCCCTTCCTGGAGGGCAACCTGCCAGAAGGCTGCCAGTATGCCCAGAATGGGTTATCAACTCCATCATGACTCGTTATCAGCACAAGCATTCTCTCTGTGGTTCTTCCAGAAGATAGGGCTCTCGACTGGCTCCCCATCTGTTGAGCACATGATAGAACCCTACCCGACTCAGAGGCTCTGGCTCCTAGCAGCCCCATGGAGATCCAGACAGTGGCCTTTGAATACTTTGTCAGGGGATATGCCCAATTCACCCTTGACTCACCTCAGACCATAAAAACTCCAGTCCCCAGAGATCACCCCAATAGTTACTCAATACTTTCGAGGAAAGCTTATCTGAGTAGAAGGAAGGGACCATCTTTTCTGATGGGGTTTACTGCCTGAGGCCTTGCAGTCCTGACAATGCAGAACACCCCCCTCCACAACCCTGCTAAGTATGTGCCTCACCTGCAGCACCCTCACAGCCTCCGCCACCTCCATTACCTGCTCTCTAGGCTAGAGGTACCCGTATAGGGTTGCTTGGACCAGCAGAGCCAATGTGGTCAAGGGCAGTTGGAGTCTGTTTGAGCTGGGTGGGAGCCCAGGGGAGGTGGGGTGAGACTCCAGATCATACCTCCTGGATGACGTTGTAATCATTTCCAGCATGGAATGTTGTCAACCTTTGCTACCTGCTCGTTAGTTCTGAGTTTCTTTTCTTTGTCCCCGATCCACCCCTTACAAGGCAATATGGACTTAACCCATGGGAAATCCAAGCAGGTTTTATTTTTTTTAATTTTTATTTATTTATGATAGTCACACAGAGAGAGAGAGAGGCAGAGACATAGGCAGAGGGAGAAGCAGGCTCCATGCACCGGGAGCCTGACGTGGGATTCGATCCTGGGTCTCCAGGATTGCGCCCTGGGCCAAAGGCAGGCGCTAAACCGCTGCGCTACCCAGGGATCCCTCCAAGCAGGCTTTAAAAAAAAATTTTATTCCCACTAGCTCTAATCTTTGAAAATGTCAATCCATTACCTGAGTCAGCCCCCTGCTCCCTTCAGAGCTCTAGGTGACCCAAGTGTGTGAGGCTTGTCTCTGCACTGACACAGGACGATTTTTGCTCATTGTTTCTCATAACTTGGTATGTTACTTTTATTTATTCCTTGTCTATATCTGTGCCTATAATTAAATTGTATTGACTTCCTGGTGAATATATATATAATATATATATGTATATTTCCAAGTACAAATGAAAGAAAGCTCAAAATATAGAAGCTCCTCAGGGAGATGCAAATTAAAGCCATAATAAAATACTACCTTACAGTGGTGTCTGTCTGGCCCAGTTAAAGGAGTGTGTGAACCTTGATCTCAGAGTCGTGAGTTCAAGCCCAACATTGGGTGTAGAGATTACTTAATAAATAAATATTTTTAAAAATATACATCCCAGGATGCCTGGGATCCCGGGATGTATATATATATATCACCTTACAGCTGTCAGAATGGCTAAAGTCAAAAAGACAAGAAATAACAAATGTTGGCGAGCATGTGGTGAAGAAGGAACTCTCAAGCACTGTTGGTGAGAATGTAAATTAGTGCAGCCACCGTGGAAAACATTATGAAGCTTCCTCAAAAATTTAAAAATAGAAACACCATACCACCCAGTAATTCCACTACTGGACATTTGCCCAAATGAAACAAAAACAGTAGTTCAAAAAGATATATTCATTCCTGTGTTTATTGCAGCATTATTTACAATAGCTAAGATATGGAAGCAAACCAACTATCTAACGATAGATAAATGAATAAGAAGATATACACACACACAGACACATAGAGGAATATTACTCAGCCACAAAGAAGGATGAGATCTTGTCATTTGTCACAACACAGATGGACCTACAGGGTACTATGCTAAGTGATATAAGACAGAGAAAGACAAATACCATATGGTTTCACTTATATGTAGGGTCTAAAAAGCAAAACAAATGAGTAAACAAACACAAAAAGCAGACTCAATACTTTAGAGAACAAATTAATACTTGCCCAAGAGGAGGAGCAGTGAGAGGATGGGGAAAATGGGTGAAGGGGAACGGGAGATACAGGCTTCCAGACTTCATGGAATGAGTAAGTCACTGGAATGAAAGGTACAGCACAGGGAATATAGTCAATGGTATTGTAACAGTGTTGTACAGTGACAGGTGGTAGCTATACTGTGGTGAACAAAGCATAATGCACGGAGATGTTGAATAACTATGTTGTACACCTGAAACTAATGTTAGATTAGTTTCATTATGTAACATCAGTTTCAGCTACATTCTAATACACTTTAAAATAATACAGTAGTCCTTTCCAGAGTCCCCAGTCACCAATTTGCTAGAGTTTTTATTTAGAACCACATATTCATTACATTGTTTTTGCATGAAAACACATTCATTCTACTGCTTAAACTTATGTGTTAAAACCCCAAAGGTCCTAACTTGGAGGACATTGCATGAATTAATCAGTGCATTCAAAGATGATTACTTCCTGGCCCTAAGATATAAAGAATCAACACTAGGAAGAAGGTTTGATCTCCCAAACCAGAGGCACTTCACAGACACTATGCAGTTAAGAATAGACCAGCAAGGTGATGGTTCCCAGTACAATAGAACTTAGCGAATAAATTTTTTTGACATTTTATTTATGAGAGACACACAGAGAGAGGCAGAGACACAGGTAGAAGGAGAAGCAGGCTCCCTGAAGGGAACCCGATGCAGGACTCAATCCCAGGACCCCGAGATCACAACCTGAGCCAAAGGTAGATGCTCATCCACTGAGCCATGCAGGTGCCCCGAACTTAGCATATTTTAAAAGTAATATGTTTAAAACATGCTCACTAGGGTACCAAGACTTTTCTTTGTCTTCAAATAAGTGCTCTTGCAGACAGAAAATCAGGATCTTTGCAAGAACCATGGCAGATTTAGACTCTGTCCTGTGTCTCCGGCCCAGTTTCGGAGCCAGGAGGGCAGCCCTTGCACTATCAAGTACCATGCCAAAGTTAATCATTGGCCCTGCCAAGTACATGGCAGATCAGGCTGTTTTTGTGTGCCTGTTTTTCTATTTTACGTAAATCACCCTGAACATGTTTGCATCAACCTCCTGGTGATGTACCTTTGATCAATAGATTTTAGACAAAAGTGGTTTTTGAGTCCAAAGATCAGGGCTGGGTTGACCTGCAGACTGGATACAGAGTGTATAAAAACAGGGGCAAGGCGCAGGCTGATAGCAGAGCAATCACCACCAAGTCTGTAATAGCTGCAAAGGCTCAGCTGTAGGCTGCCTGAGGAGCCAGGGAGTAAGGATGGAGAAAGGAATGGATGTGCTCCATGACTTTGGAATCCAGTCAACGCACTACCTCCAGGTGAATTACCAGGACTCTCAGGATTGGTTCATCTTGGTGTCCGTGATTGCAGACCTCAGGAATGCCTTCTATGTCCTCTTTCCCATCTGGTTCCATCTGCGTGAAGCTGTGGGCATCAAACTTCTCTGGGTAGCTGTGATTGGAGACTGGCTCAACCTCGTCTTTAAGTGGTGAGTAAGAGCCAGACAGAGAGGAGATCGGCAAGGGAAGAGGCTGGTATTCTCTCTGGAAATGTCTGTCCATCGGAAATTGCCTTCTCCGTGCTAGTCGGGAAGCCACAGGTTACTCCCCTCCTGACTCTGGATCATCTACCTAAAGAGGGAAGACAGCGAAAATCTTGTTGATGAATTGAAGATACAGGCAAGGCTATTTCATATGGATGGAAGGCCAGCCGGACTTAGTGAAAAGTCTAAAGTATATAGGCTATAAGCAAAAAGCACAGTTGTATTACTTTGAAGCAGAATAGGTAACATAAAGATAGGTGTATGAAAGATGATGTATGAAAACAAGAAGCAAGTATATAATTTAAAAACCCACTGCATGGAGAAAGGAGAAGTAACCCAGAGAACTGGGCTCTAACCCTTGTTTGGCCACCTACCAGCTGTATGTCCTGGGAAAGTCAAAGCAACTCTCTGAGTTTCTGTCTTACAATCTGTAAACTTAAATTATCCTTGGGAGCTCAATAATAATTCTAGTTAACATTTATTGAACATTTAGTAGGTACTAGGCCATGTGCCAAGTGCTTTTCTGTGAGGTAGTTACTACTGTATTATAGATGAAGAGACAGAGCCATTAAGATAAGGGACCAGAACTAGATCCACATGGTGGTCAAAGGCAGAGGCAGCATTTTAAGGCCAGACAGGCTAGTTTCAGAGGCAAAGCTCTTAAGGATTATGCTGTATTCATTGCTGACAAATTGACTTCTTCAGGGAGCAGGAGGAAGCCAAATTTTAATGTTTGTCAATGTCTCTGGTGTATATATTCCTATTGGGGCCACTTTTTGATGGGTCAAGCTTGCAAAAATCCTGAATATTTTACAATTGTCAGCCAATACCATATGATTCTAGCTCATTAGTGGCTTGGCCTCTATTTCCTCATCTAGAAAATAAAGAGCTTGGGCCAGCTAAAACCTTTACCATCCCTAAACTATCTATGTCTACTGTCAAGTGATTCTGAAGACCCTTCTAGCTCTAATATTCTTTGGCCATAAACAATAACATCCTTTAGTGTCCAAAAGAAAAAAAAATTGTCTTGGGTTGAGAGGCTCAAGGCATATCAATGTGGTTCTGAAACCTCTATTGAAAAATCTACTAAGTTTCGTCTGTAATGTCCCCTATTCAACAGCATGACCCTAAAAATTAAACAGATAAAGTGTTATTTTAAACATCTGATCTCAGTTGAAGAACCATGGACTTTCTCTGAGTTGGCGCAGGTCAGAGTTAGTGGCTGTCTGATTTCGGTGAAAAATCACTATTCCACCCCTGGAGGGGCTGACCCTTGACACCTGTTTCCACAACAAAAACGTATCTAGTACTTTTAAAGGGAAGTCTGAGTTACCCTGCTCCAAGGCAGAGAGGATACAAAGTGAGTGCCAGAAGCTATCTATGTCCCTGCACAGAGCAATTCCTGCAGCAAAGAGGCCATATCTCCTGATGGTGCTTGTCCCTGGGGCTAGGGCATATTCTCTGATGTCAGAAGATACCCAAGACTCTTTGAGACCTGAAGAAAGAGTATAGGGACCTGGCAGGATTTACAAGTCCAAGTTGCAAACTGTAGTTCTGTATGCGTCCTTCCAGGACAAATTCTTACTGAGGTTTTAAAAAAAAGTCACATAGCTTCCATTGATATGTATTTTTTTTAAGATTTTATTTATTTATTCATTAGAGACCCACAGAGAGAAGCAGAGACAGAGGCAGAGGGAGAAGCAGGCTTCTCGTAGGGAGCCCGATGTGGGACTCCATTCCAGGACCCCGGGATCATGTCCCGAGCTGAAGGCAGATGCTCAACCGCTGAGCCACTCAGGTGTCCCCATTAATATGGATTTTTAGGATCTTGGGTTTATTTCTGTTTCAATAAATAATACATCAAAATGGTTCAGAATTCAGAAGTTATATAAAGGATGTACCAGAAAAAGTCTCCCTCCCTTACTGCTCTCCAGCCATCCAGTTCCTCTTCTTGGAGGCAGCCAAAGCTAACAGTTTTCTGTTTAGGATCACAAGAATCTTCTCCTCAAATGACTCTGTCTCAGAAGTGTGGGCTTCAGACAAAACGGTTCTTTCAGGGAAGGTGGATGGGGGAACAGGGTAACTGGGTGATGGGCATTAAGGAGGGCATGTGATGTGATGAACACTGAGTGTTATACTATATATTGGCAAATGGAATTTAAATAATTTTTTAAAGGGGTTTTTTCAGTAACTCCAGATACTGGTTCTGCTTTTTTACAGGATTCTGTTTGGACAGCGTCCATACTGGTGGGTCATGGACACCGACTACTATAGCAACACCTCTGTGCCACTGATAAAGCAATTTCCAGTTACCTGTGAAACTGGACCAGGTGAGAGTCCCAGCCCCTGAGACAGAAGCTGGGTGGACCTGGTTCACTGTAGCTACCTATCAGCATTCATTGTAGACAAAGCTGTCTTTGAGGGGACATGAGAAGAGCCACTCCTTCAAGCTTTAATCATGGTCTTCAATTGGGTACAACTCTTTTTTTTGTTAAGATTTTATTTATTTACTCATGAGAGACACACAGAGAGAGGCAGAGACATAGGCAGAGGGAGAAGCAGGCTCCATGCAGGAAGCCCGACGTGGGACTCGATCCTGGGTCTCCAGGATCACACCCTCAGACCCAGAATCACAACCTGAGCCAAAGGCAGATGCTCAACCGCTAAGCCACCCAGGTGTCCTGGGTACAACTCCATTTAATTTAATTCAAGAAGGTCTCCCTGAATAACACGTTATTGCTACTTTAGAAATCTGCCAATATTTCCAGAACCTAAATTGCTAATCCAGAGAGACAAGGGTACTGTTCTGGGCAAAGGACCTAAGAGAGTAACTGTATTATGGCCCTTTGTCCAGGGAGAGAAAGCAGTAGAAGCCTAAGCCCTTGGCTATCCTTCCCTGAGGCCTGGACAAGTAGCTGTGCAATCAAATGATAGATTTCCCTTCTTAGTAGACACTGGAATATCCAACCCCTTCACTCACCCTTCAGTCTCATGCTGGCATCCCTTCCTCAGGGACCCTAACCTTGACTCCCAAACTAGGGCATGGCCCTTAGCTATTTGTTCTCACAAACAATTTGTTCACTTTAGAGGATATTTGTTCATTCAGATGTTATTTTAAAAAAAAAATTTTTTTTTATTTATTTATGATAGGCACACAGTAAGAGAGAGAGAGGCAGAGACACAGGCAAAGGGGAGAAGCAGGCTCCATGCACCGGGAGCCCGACGTGGGATTCGATCCCGGGTCTCCAGGATCACGCCCTGGGCCAAAGGCAGGCGCCAAACCGCTGCGCCACCCAGGGATCCCTCATTCAGATGTTATTTATTGGGCACCTACTCTGTGCCAGACACTGTTCTAGGTACTTGGAGTACCTTAGTGAATAAAACAGACAAAGATTCCTGCCCTTGTGCAGCTGAAATTTGAATGGTGTGTGTATGCACATGCACATACAATATACAAAATCATAATACACAAGTAAAATATATAGGATATTAGAAGACATTAATGAAGATGAAGAAGAGTAAGAAGAATAGAAAGAGGAGAGGAGGGGGAAGGAACAGAGTAGGAGGAGGAAGGGGAGGGGGAGGAGGAAGAAGAAGAAGAGGAGAAAAGGAAAGGCAAGGATTTATCTATAAAATTCCCTGGAAAGCAGATTTAGATTAGATTAGCACACAGGAACTCATACTCCACATGCATTGCTCCTGTCTGCAACAGGAGCATGCAGGAGCAACGCATGTGGAAGGAAGGAACAGTAGCCAACTGGGCAGGAGAAGTCTAACTCAGATTTGATCTCAGCCAAACCTACAGGGGAGTTCTGAAACTGGGGATGGCCTTTCAGAGTTTGCCCTGAATCAAGTCAGGAGAATCAGGCCCTTATGCCCCAATATAGAGCGGTGATTGGGTGTAGGCTGCCCCTGGGGAGATGGCAACCCTGATCAAAATGGCTCTGTTTAGTCCAGGGCAATGCTCAGAGAGGGATGAGAGCTGAGGGCCATCCATGACCACATTCTCAACAGCTGGAAAAATAAGTTCTTCAGTCTAGAAGGGAATCTGGGTGGCATATCTCAAGACCTTCTATCTTTCAGGATAGAATGATCAGGAAGTATTGGTTGAAGTATTAAGTAAGATGGTCAGGGTATGACTCCCTGAGAAGGAGAGGTTTGAGCAAAAACTTGAAGGAGCCAAGGAAGTTAGCAAGTAAATTTCTGGTAGAAAATATTTCTGGCCAGAAAGATCAATAGCACAAAGACTCTGAGGTGGAAGTATGTTTAAAGGAGAGGAATGAGGCCAGTAAGACTGGAACAGAGTGAGTAGCAAGAGTGGAGGAAGTGATGGAGGCCAGATTGATTTGCAGTTACACACTCAGTATCCTGATTCTTGGTGTAGTTTCTAGACTGTATTTCACTATAAGAGCTGGGGCCTTCTCTGGTTTTACTTGCCACTGTACACACACACACACACACACTCCAGAGCCTATTACAGTTCTGGTCAGGTGGTAGGAGCCCAATAGATATTTGTTTAATAAATGACTAAATGGATAAATAGATGGATGGCAGGATGGGTGGATGAAAGGATGGAAAGATGGGTGGTAGATGGACAGACGGATGGATGGATGGATACAGGACAACCCCTAGAAGTGTCCCAGATGGAGACTTTTCACCTTTAGTTCATCCATTAATCTCTTCCTCACCCTTTAGGGAGTCCCTCTGGTCATGCCATGGGTACAGCAGGTGTATACTACGTGATGGTCACATCCACCCTTTCTATCTTTCGGGGGAGAAAAAGGCCAACCTACAGATTTCGGTAAGAATCAGCACTGGGGTGTGGGCGGTGGAGGGCAGGAGGTGACTTTCTCTGCGCCTGACACACCACTTGCACTTCCTCACATTCCCCACAGCTAGCCCACCCCCTCTTGGGTTGGTACTGAGCAGAGTTGTGGCATTTCTGCTGAGGGCAAACGTTAGAGTCACAGAATGTCAGGGCTGGAAGGGACCTATGAGAGCAACCCCTCACTTTACAGATAAGGAAACAAGGCCTAACACGGGAAAGGAACTTTCCATGATCAGACAATGTAGTACTGGCAGGGTTTCAATAAAATCCCATTTCTAGACCAACCAAAGAATCGCCTTGTCCAGGTTACAAAAAAAGAAACATAAGATGTTCCTACTACAGAGAATTTCTGTGCATGCAGCCACTGTGCCAATCCTTAAAATTATACACATATAAAATCAGGAGGTTAACCTTCACATGTGCAAGGATTCACCAAGTGACACGGTCATCTCTGAACTTTTGTGTATGGGCTTCAGTTTACAAAAATGCCACTGACTGCACCTAAGTTTGTCAGACTCAAGCATTTCCGCCAGGGCTGTTCTTGCTAAAGGATGTGTGTCTGGGTTCTGTTATGACTGCCTCTTCTGTTGCAGGTGCTTGAATATCCTTCTGTGGTTGGGATTCTGGGCCGTGCAGCTGAACGTCTGTCTGTCCCGAATCTACCTTGCTGCTCATTTCCCCCATCAGGTTGTTGCTGGAGTCCTGTCAGGTATCAGCTGCTCTGGCTCTCTCCCTTCCTCCTCTCCTATCCCATGTCTCCCTAACTGGGACGAAAATCCCAGCATTCCAGTCATGTTCTGGGTGTAATCGATGCTGTTAGCTCTTCAGAGGGTTGAAAGTTAAAGGTGGGTGAAACTATTCATTTCTACAGGAGTCCCCACATCGACACAAATATGTTTCGGAAAAGTTGCAATACATCAAGTTAACTTACCCAATTGAATTATCTTGAAATTTCCTTACTTTCATATTCCTTATTTCTTATTGGTCTTCAGTTGGAAATCACCCCTAGCTAAGGCTGTTTTTTTTTTTAAGATTTATTTATTTATTTATTTAGTTATTTATTTATTTATTTATTGTGGGTGGAGGAGCAGATGGAGAGGGAAAATGAATCTGACTCCACGCTGAGTGTGAAGCCAGATATCGGGCTCAATCTCAGGACCCGGACATCATGACCTGAGCTGAAATCAGGAGTTGAATGCTTAACTGACTGAGCCACCTAGGCACCACAGCCCTTAGTTTAGTTTTAAGGGAATCTACCAAATTTGACAAATTAACAGTGTCCTAGAAAAACTCTTTACTTGGGTAAAGAGGGTAAAATTAATTTGGGTAAAATTAATTTGCAGACTTACAGTTCGTCTTTCTTATAGGTTCAGAATTTTGTTTTGTTTTGTTTTGTTTAATATTTTATTTGTTTATTTGAGAGACAGTATGAGCATGGGGAAGAGGTAGAGGGAGAAGGAGAAGCAGACTCCCTTCTGGGCAGGGAGCTGACATGGGATTCAATCCCAGGATCCTGAGATCCTGACCTGAGTCAAAGGCAGACGCTCAACAGACTGAGCCACCCAGGTGCCCCTAGGTTCAGAATTTTGAATAAGTTGATACCTAAACAATGCAGGGGTTAGGAGCATTGACCCCTACTCCATGCACTCGAAAATCCACATATAACTTTGATTTCCCCAAAACTTAACTACTTACAGCCCATTGTTGACTGGAAGCCTTACTGATGATAATAATAGTCAATTAACACACGTTTTGTATATGTATTATATCCTGTGTTCTTACAATAAAGCAAGTAAGAGAAAAGAAAATGTTATTAAGGGACGCCTGGGTGGCTCAGCAGTTAAGCGGCTGCCTTCCGGCTCAGGGCATGATGTTGGAGTCCTGGGGATCGAGTCCCACATCAGGCTCTCTGCATGGAGCCTGCTTCTCCCTCTGCCTATGCCTCTATTTCTCTCTCTCTCTCTGTCTCTCATGAATAAATAAATAAAATCTTAAAAAAAAAGAAAATGTTATTAAGAAAATCAGCAGGGGTGTACCACCTGGGTGGCTCAATTGGTTAAGCATCTGCTTCAGTTCAGGGCATGATCTCAGGGTCCTGGGATCAAGCCCTGCATCAGGCTCCCTGGTCTGCAAAGCGTCTGCCCTTCCCTTTCCCTCTGCCCCACTGCTTGTGCTCTCTCTCACTCTTCTGTCTCCCTTTCTCTCTCTTATAAATAAATAAATAAATAAATAAATAAATAAATAAATAATCTTTTTTAAAAAATCAGCAGGAACAGGAGTACCTTGGTGGTTCAGTCTGTTGGGCAGCTGCCTTCAGTTCAGGTCATGATCTTGGGGTCCCAGGGTCAAGCCACATGTGGGGCTCCCTGCTCAGTGGGGAGTCTGCTTCTCCCTGTGCTCTCCCCCCTTCTCATGCTGGCTCGCACTCTCTGTCTCTCAAATAAATAAATAAAATTTTTTAAAAAAGATTTTATTTATTTATTCATGATAGATAGAGAGAGAGAGAGGCAGAGACACAGGCAGAAGGGAGAAGCAGGCTCCATGTCGGGAGCCTGACGGGGGACTCAATCCCGGGACTCCAGGATCGCGCCCTGGGCCAAAGGCAGGCGCCAAACCACTGAGACACCCAGGGATCCCCCAAATAAAATCCTTTTTAAAAAAAGATCAGCAGGATGAGAAATACATTTACAATGCTCTAGTATATTTATCAAAAAATCTGCATATAAGTGGACCCTCCTACTTCAAATCCATGTTGTTCAAAGGTCAACTATACTTGTATTTTCTTAGATCCCATTTAGAAGGGGAGGAAAAGATTTAGGTTAAGTATAAGAAACTTTACTTTGTGGGAGGTACTGGAATATAAGATCTTAGGGAACTTGTAGAATTCTCCCCCTAGAGATGGGTAAGAGCAGAACATGGCAGCATTACAAGAAGTGTGTTGAATACAAGGGAGGTAATGGTTTCATGACTACCACAAAATAATGCAGCATTTACCACTGGGTGCCATGTTTGAGGAAGAACCCAGAAGCCATGTTACATGAAAGACCTGAGAATGTTTAGGTTAGAGATGAGACTGTCTTCAGATGTGTTTTATAAAAAGGCTGTAGCTTTACAGCTTAACTCCTACAGAAATAACGAAGATCAACAGATGGCATTAGAGGGGGACACATTTCAGCTTAGCACAAGGAAGAATTTTTTATAATCAAATCCATTCGAACATGAAATGGGCTGCCCAAGTGGGAGTGAGCTCTCTACCTCTGCAAGTATTCAAGTAGAAACATGAGGACCCCCGACAGGAAACATGCATGCAATGGGAGAATGTATGTGACATGACTCTTCCATCTGAAAGAGTGTATGACTAAGGACAGATTGGGGTCACATAGGAGAATAAACCAGGTGACTCTCTAATCTAGCATCTGTGATTTAATGCCACAATGGCAGGATGGACCATATGTCACCTATTGCTCCAAACACTCCCCACCTCTGCGGCTGAAGGTCCAGAGTCTTCCCTATTTCTCACAGTCATTCTTTCTTCCACGCAGGCATTGCTGTTGCTGAAACTTTCCGCCACATCCAGAGCATCTACAATGCCAGCCTCAAGAAATATTTTCTCATTACTTTCTTCCTGTTCAGTTTTGCCATTGGATTTTACCTGCTGCTCAAGGGGCTGGGTGTGGACCTCCTGTGGACACTGGAAAAAGCCAGGAGATGGTGTGAGCGGCCGGAATGGGTTCACATTGACACCACACCCTTTGCCAGCCTTCTCAAGAACGTGGGGACCCTCTTTGGCCTGGGGGTGGCTCTCAACTCCAGCATGTACAGGGAAAGCTGCAAGGGCAAGCTTAGCAAGTGGTTCCCATTCCGCCTCAGCTGCATTGTGGTCTCTCTCATCCTCCTGCACCTCTTCGACTCTTTGAAACCCCCATCCCAAACTGAGCTGATCTTCTACACCTTGTCCTTCTGCAAGAGTGCAGCAGTGCCCCTGGCATCTGTCAGCCTCATCCCCTACTGCCTTGCCCGGGTCCTCGACCAGCCGGACAAGAAGTCTTTGTAAGGCATGTGGAGTCTTCAGTATTCAAGCCAATGACTGTGCCAACCATCGAGGTGGCTAGGGTCTTGTGCCAGCCCATTTTGAGGCCAGAGGTGCTAGAGTCAGCTCAGGTAACCCCTTCCTCCTTTGCAATTCTAATTGTATTGGGTGGGGTGTTTGTTTTTTTGTTTTTTGTTTTTTGTTTTTTTGTTTTTTGTTTTTGTTTTTGTTTTTTTTTTAAAGCTAGTAAGGCTAGTTGAGAAAGCCTTATCTGTTAGTTGGGGTGTTCTGGATTTTTTTTTTCCCCTGAAGACTTACTTGCTCTTCTTTTAGATACACAAAAGCAAGGCTTCCAGGTAGGGCCAGCTCACAATCCCAGACTGGGGATCTCAGCTCAGGATTTTCTACCTGTCCCCATCCTTACAAGAAAAGGGAAAGGAGCAGTGGATTTGATAGAGAAAGAAGAATGGATTAAGAAACACTTCTTTGTATCCTGCATATCATGCAAATTATGTTACACAAAATCTAAATCACTTTGATTATATTTGAATTTTTAGGTAAGGGACTCTCAATAGTGGGGGACCAACTTAAAGCATAACTAATAGGTAGTTAATGAGGTAATTCTGCTTCTTCTATGTTTCTACTATATATCCATGGTCTTTGCATTTACCAGGATTTCTGAATGGCTGCAATGACCTAGATTTGTGCTGGGTCAGAGCATTCAGATATAGTCAGCTTCTCTATCACACTACATCTTCCTCCTTGTCAGCCTAGCTCTGCTTTCCCTAGAACTTTCCACTGGCTCTACATCCTGCTGGACACAGAGATGCCTAAAGGCAGCTCTAGGGTAGTGCTTTTGTATGGTTTAGTCAAGCTCTGAAATCTTGGGCAAAAAGGTGAGGAGAGGGCAAGGAGGGGAAAGGATTCCTCTCTCCAGAAGGTCACTCCAATGTTACTTTTGATTCCTAGAGGGTAAATATGACTCCTTTCTCTATCCCAAGCCAACCAAGAGTGCTCTTGGAGGAAAAGCCAGCTCTTCCTTGCCTGTTGTCAAGTCTCAGCTGATTTGCAGAATATGTCTTTTAAAAATGTTTAAGCTTATTTATTTGAGAGTCCTTGTTTTTGCTACTAATTATATAGTTCACCATATATTACCATTCACACCAACCATCGTGGTCATAACATCTTTGAAAAGAAAAATATATATGTGCAGTATTTTATTAAAACAACATTTTATTTAAGAATGAAGTCTTGCTGATTACTGTATTTTAGATGCAATGCGATCTGAAGGTTCTAATTCTGGCCCAGCTAAATTTCTAGCTCTTTTTCTATTTCCCTAAACAAATAATTTAGTCTCTGTGTACCTATGTTTTCCCTTTGGAGAAAGAAGTCTTGGGCTGGCCAGGAGTACCAGTGGAGCTGGGGGACCCACAGAGTGTCCACAGGGGCACAAGTAGAGTTGAGTGCATCAACACAGGCACAATATCATTGGCCAAGGTTGAACATTAGTTACCAGACCACAGGTTGGTATGAGTTGCTCTAAGGGATCAAGCTACAACTTAAAGGCAAACAGTCAGGGTTATTACCAAAGTAAGCAATCAGGGAATGTAAGTCATAGCAGCAGAAAAAGACTGGGTAGACTCTGGAATCCAGGAACCCGGCATCAGCAAGGTTTGAGGTTATGGTTAAAGAAAGTCTCAACAGAGCAAGTCATAGCAGCAAGGAATGCTCACGGGAGTTATTGAAGTTTTCTCCCCAAATGATCTATTTTATTCTGGGTGCTGGGCACCACCCCCAAAGGCCTGGACACATCAGCCTAACCCTGCATCTACTGAGGATGAAATCTGCTCACTCACTTCGGAACTTTGGAATGTGTATATTCAGGAAAATTGAGTCTTCCTACTGGATTTGTTTTCTTCAGGGGGCACAAGGCCCCTCAGAGACCTTAATGGTCTTACCAGTGGAGAAGGGACATGATCTTGTTCTTTCTAAACTGAACTCGTTGCTCAGACCTGGCCCCCATCCTTGATGATTTATCAGGGAGCAAGTCCAGGTTCCTTGCAATAGGATTCTGGCAGAAAGTGAATACTGCCCCTGTCCCCAGCAGTTGGTGAGGTTGATAAGGACACATAATAGATAAAATTACCGAGTACTTATGTGCCAGGCTCTGTTCTATGCATTTTATTTGTTTCTACAATTAATTCACTTAATTCTCCCAACATCTCTGTGAGGTGGGGGCTATAGCTTATCCACACATCACATATAAATAAAAACAGAGAGGGTGGGTATCCTGCCCAGGATGGTGAAGTCAGTTTGACACCAAAGCAGTCTGACTCCAGAGTCCACACTCCACCCTGTAGCCCCCTCACACCAATGGGCGCCAATAAGACTGGTGGGTATTTCTGGCTGGCTCAATCAGTGGAGCCTGTGACTCTTGATCTCAGCGTCCTGAGTTCAAGCCCCACATTGGATGCAAAGCTTACTTAAAATTAATAAATATTAAGAAAAAAAAAAAGACCGGCAGCTGTTTCAAACCATTCTTCAGATGCCAGATACAACTTTGAATTCAGCCCAGGAAGAATTTGTTTTCTTGTGGTCAAAGGAATTATAAAACTTAGAATGATCCTCCCAGTGAGCTAGTGTTAGTTTCTAAGTATGAAGATGCCATATTTCAAAGGCAACTTTACAAAATAACTTAGAAGAGGCATAACCATATTAAACTTTAGATTTTTTCTTTCTTTCAAAAAAAGAGTCTAAAAGTCATGCTCAGACTATCTGGTCAGACAGGAAGCAGCTTACTGTTTCTACAATTGAGATAAAACAAAAGGGCAGAAATACCACAAAGAACTTTCAGTATGGATCCATGTACAGAGGCGTAGAAAATGAAGAGAGGGATCCCTGGGTGGCGCAGCGGTTTGGCGCCTGCCTTTGGCCCACGGCACGATCCTGGAGACCCGGGATCGAATCCCACGTCGGGCTCCCGGTGCATGGAGCCTGCTTCTCCCTCTGCCTGTGTCTCTGCCTCTCTCTCTCTCTCTCTCTGTGACTATCATAAATAAATTTAAAAAATTAAAAAAAAAGAAAATGAAGAGACTTACATGAAGATTGCTTAAGTCAGGGAATCCACAAAGACAGGACTGCTACCTTTCCTTGGGATTGCTATCTGTTTCCTCGAGAAACAGACAATGCTAAATAAAGGCTTAGAATCTGTGATGGGAAAAGCTGAGCAGAAAGAGTGTCAGCTCATGATCAATTCGTAGTAGCCAGTAGCCAGTGTGTCAGCACATTCTGATTGCTGACCTGTTGCCCAAATTACAGAGGTGTGTTTGCTTTAGAAATGACTTATGAGTCCTCAGGATGGAAGCAAATGTAAGTGACCTATGACAGTTTTAAACCAAAAGCCATGTCATGTTATAGCACAATTTGATTGTTCTAGCAGTCTATCAGTTTTGAGGTGGTACACTTGGGGATCACACACACACACACACACTATACAATTGTGCTATTGCCCTAGGAAAATAAACCCATTAAGAAAATACAGCTTCGGGATCCCTGGGTGGCTCAGCCGTTTGGCGCTACCTTAGGCCCAGGGTGTGATCCTGGATTCCTGGGATTGAGTCCCACATAGGGCTCCCTCCGTGGAGCCTGTTTCCTCCTCTGCCTGAGTCTCAGCCTCTCTCTCTCTCTCTCTCTCTCTCTGTCTCTTATGAATAAATAAATAAATAAAATCTTTAAAAAAAAAAGAAAATATAGCTTCTGCTGCCAGAGTCTATGAATTACTCACTATCATTTTTAAATTTCCACTCTGATTTCCTCTTCTGGGAACACGCACCACATCGAGTCAGCTGCTACACCACAGATACACTGAGAGGTTTTGTTTTTAACAATATTTATAATAGCTTTTTAAAAAATTTATAACAACTTTCTTGAGATATAATTCACACATCATACAAATCACCCATTTAAAGTGTGCAATTTGGGGCACCTGGGTGGTTCAGTTGATTAAGCATCTGCCTTTGGGCTCAGGTCATGATCCTAGGATACTGGGATTGAGCCCTGAATAGGGCTCCCTGTTTGCTGGGAAGTCTGCTTCTTACTCTCCCAGCCTCTCCCCCTGCTTGTGCTCTCTCTCCTGTTCTCTCTCTCTCATGAATAAATAAAATCTCTTAAAAATAAATAAAGTACACAATTCAGTGGATTTTAGCATATTCAGAGAATTGTACTACCATGACCACAAACCAATTTTAGAACATTTTTGGTTGGGTTCCTGGGTGGCTCAGTCAATTAAGTGTCTGCCTTTGGCTCAGGTCACAATCCCAGGCTCCCTAATCCCGCTCAGCGAGAAGCCTTCCTCTCCCTCTCCCTCTGCCACTCTCCCTTCTTACACTCTCCCTCTGTCAAATAAATAAATAAATAAAATCTTAAAAAAAAAAAAGACATCTTTGGTCACTCTATAGGGAGAAACCCTGTACCCATTAGAAGTCACTTCCACTTTACCCCCACCTCCCAGCCCTAGGCCACCACTGACCTACTTCTTGTTTCATAGATTTGCCTGTGGATATTTCATACCAATGGAATCATACAACATGTGACCTCTTGCAACTGGTTTCTTTCCCTTAGCATTTTTTCAAGGTCGATTGCTGTTGTAACACATAGTAGTACTACATTTCTTTTGATGGCCAAATAACACTCCACTGTATGGATATACTAAATTTTGTTAATGATATTTGGGTCGCTTCCACATTTTGGCTCTTATGAATAATACTGCTATGGGGGCTCCTGGGTGGCTCAGTGGTTGAGCATCTGCCTTTGACTTGTTCTGTCTAAACTGAACTCCTGAGATCCTGGTCATGATCCTGGGGTCCTGGGACCAAGTCCTGCATCAGGATCCCCAAGGGAAGCCTGCTTCTCCCTCTGCCTATGTCTCTGCCTCTCTCTGTGTGTCTCTCATGAATAAATAAACAAAATATTTTTAAAAAATAATACTGCTATGAACATTTGTGTATAAATTTTTGTGAGGATGCATGATTTCATTTCTCTTGGGTAGGTACATTAGACTGGAATTGCATGATCATATGGTAACTCTGTGTTTAACCTTTCACGGAAGTGCCAGACTGTTTTCCCAAAGGTTTAGCAAGGAAAAATTTTAAAATGTTTTTGGTTTTGCCATCTCTTTTGATTTCCTAGAAGCATACCCTGTCTGATAGCTTTGTCCAATTTTTCCCTTTAGAAGAACTTTGCAGCAGGATTGATGAGGGGCTCAGATTTCATATGATGAAGTGTCAGTGGGCTCCTGCTACTTTAATAAAGCAATGGCTTTATTGTTCCAGTGTGCATTCCAAGAGCATTTCATTTGAAGACATGTCTGGATATTTGAAGTTCCAGCCTTAATCAATTGAGCAGTTGTTTGTAACCTGCCAAAATATGCTTACTTGTTTAACACCATTACTTTAGCTGCTGAATTATTAATATTTATTGATTTCATTCCATAGTAATTGCCGAACTAGGACAGATGACTTTAAGGCTGGCATGTGTAAATAAAATAGGACGATGTCATTTGTATCCCAGAGTTTTTCAAGAGCCTCATGTTTTCATGGAAAACATGCTGGCCAAATAGCCTTCAGATGATGTTGTTAAGGAAAGAATTGACTAGAAAAGGTATGAAATGGAAGCCGACAAAAGTCACTTCCATTAGAGAACCAAGAGCCTAATTAATCTGGAAGAGAAACTAGCAATTGTCTAGTCCAGTGATGGGGAACCCAAAACCCAAAATCTAACTTCAGAGTGAAAGATTAAAAAGCTGTCTCTGGGACAAACAGAAAAAGCAGAAACCCATAAATACAGAGAACAAACTGGTGGTTGGCAGAGGGGAGGGTGATGGAGGGATGGGTAAAATGGGTGAAGGAGAGGGAGAAATACAGGTTTCCAGTTATGGAATCAATAAGTCACTGGGATAAAAGATACAGCACTGAGAATACAGTCAATGTTATTATAATAGTATCGTATGGTGACAGATGGTAGCTACACTTGCCGTGAGCAGAGCACAATGTATAGAGATGTAGAACCACTATGTTGTATACCTGAAACTAATGTAGCATTGTGTGTCAGCTATATTTCAATTAAAAAATAATAATAAAATAAGTAAAAAAATAAAAAGCTGCTTTTGGGTTCCTGCTTCTTCATAAAAAATAAAAAAGTCTATACATATTTTTATTTTTTCTGAATTGGTCCTTATTTTTTAAAAATTGCTCAACTATTAATCCTATTCAAAATTTTATTTCATAGATACAGAGATTAAGACCTAGAGATGTAAAATAGCTCATCTAAGTTATATAAGTAACCTGTCCTCAGGTCACCTGATTTTTAGCAGAGAGCAGTCTCCCCTCCGCCTGTTTCCTGCATTTACTTGGGCCACTATGTCAACACACAGCTGTTGAAACAGAAATGAATGGGAGAGCCAGCTTATTTGAGCCAGAACCAGTAACCATACTCAAGAGGGTTTTTTTTTTAAAGATGTTTTATGTATTTATTTGAGAGAGAGCATGAGCAGGGGGGAGAGGCAGAGGGAGAGTGAGAAGCAGACTCTCTTCTGCTGAGCAGGGAGCCCAATGAAGGACTGGGTCCCAGGACCCCAAGATCATGACCTGAGCTGAAGGCAGACGCTTAATGACTGAGCCACCCAGGCGCCACTCAAGGTGGCCTGTTCTTAATTATGTCACACACTCCTCTCTGCCTTTGCTCTCAAAAAATCTTTCCAAGGCAGAAATGTAACTTAAACAAGAAGCAACTTGGTGTTTTTATGGAGTTTTAGTTTTTTGGGGTGTGTGTGTGTGTGTGTTTTGTTTGCTTGTTTGTTTGTTTTAGCAGGAGAGTGGTTTTCCAGGTAGTACATTTTCAATACTTTTCTTTCTTCTCACATCTTCTGCTTTTCACATTTAACAGCCATTTCCTTCAGATCAGCTAATTCAACTCCAAGTCCGAAAGCTGCTAGAACTCCTCTCATTCCTCTCCAACCCGGAACTGGGAATTCCAGTGCTGTGTCAGCTGTGTTACAAAAGGAAGAACACCAAATTCTTTCTCCTCCACGGTGAACTGTTTGGACTCCCTGACCAGGCCATGCCAACAGAATCCCATCGTTTCTCCTCCGTCTTCCCCACTAAATTCCTCCCTCAACCTCAGCCTGTGGAAGATGTTGCCACTGATTCCTGCTTGATCCTCCCTCCTGACCAACGCAAATGAGCCTTTTGAGAGAAGTAATTTAGCTGAATTGATTTGATAGCCCCAGTGGCTAAATCCATTTTCTTTATTCTGGTTAAGTCTTTAGACTGCCAGGGCCCTCCTTATGAGTCACCCCAGCCCACACCCCACACAATGACAGTGGCATCATCTCTCCCTACAGACTGCAGTGAAACCACGTTGGACACCCTGCACCAAACCTCCAAGGGGTTCCTTTGTTTCGGGAGGTTTGAGTGAGGCTCCCTCGCTCCTGACAGGAATCAGAGTTGATTCAGAAAAAGCTGAGTTGATTCAGAAAAGCAGCCCATCTTTGATCTGAGTCTTCAAGCTTTGCCACCAGCTTGCTAGGTACGGTAACCACCAAACTATTATCTGCAAAATTATGCCCTCTCTTGTTTTCTACCAATAGTGCTCTCACAGGTACACGGTATGCTTCTAAGAACTTCCAAAGGGCAGATGACTCCAAATATGACTGTCAGACTAGTGAGTTAATTCCTCAAGTTGCCAGGATGGCTGAGCTCAATCCATTTTAAGAAAAAGAAAAGACCTGGAGGGGATCCAAAGAGTCCACTTTGGATTCTTCCATCTGATTTCCAGTTAGTTTCAGGTTTTCTTTTGAAGTCCCCTTAAGACTCCATTCTTGAGGAAAATGAATTGGGAAATAATTTAATGAAGGCTAAGAAAATGCTGGAAAAAGAGTGCAATGAGGGGAAGGGCTGCCCTCAAATTTTATTTGGGGCTGAGCCTCCTGGGAAGCAAGGAACAGAGAAGATAAAATTGGAATATTTCATTGTCTTCATCAATAGGGGATAATCTGATGCTATTACCCCAATACTGTTATTTCCACACAGAATATCTAACAAACCAACAGTTCTCAACCGGGAGTGATTTTGCCTCCCAGGTGATGCTTGGCAATGTCTGGAGACATTTTTTGGTTGTCATAACTGGAGATGTTGCTAGTGGTATCCAGCAGGTAGAGCCCAGGCACGCAGCTAATCATCCTACAAGGCACAGTTCCCCCCACCCCCCAACAAAGAATTATCCTCCCCCAAATGTACCAGCACTGAGTGCCAACCCTGAGAATCTTCTTAGCAAACTCAAAAGAAAGGAGAATCAATCACAGTTTGCATGAAAGAATTTTCTCCAGTGAATGTTTTTCAACTCAGCCCCAGAGCACTGCTTTGCAAATGGGCCCCTCTGGTGTGCCCTGCAGCCCCTCCCTAGTCCTGTCTCAAGTGGGACATTTATCATGCTAACTTCTAACATCTTTCCCTCCAACTTGTTAAGGTAACTGAAGTCGTTGCACCTGGGTGCCTGTAAGTAAGTCACTCTTGCTTCCAGGCTTTTTGTAGAGACCCTGACGCAGGGACGTGTTGTGGATTGAGAGTTTCAGTTAAAGAGTTAGGGTGAAGCAAGTGGGGTCTGACAAGGAGCCACCTAGTCTAAGAGTTTGGTAGACAAAGTGCTCTCCCCCACAAAGGTTCTGGATGTATTTCACATTGTTGTTAAATCACCAGGGAGAGGAATGAGTAAAACAAAACACATTCTTAGATGGACAAAAAAAGAATGTAGTTAAGACACACTGCGTAACACTGGGCTTAATTCCTCCCAGCTTGGGCTTGATTTATTTAAAGAAAGCAGAAGAGATTCTTTGATGTCTCATTGCTGCAAAACTCAGTGTCCATTATTATTGGTACAAACTCCTGTTTTAACTTTTGTTAATTGCTAATGAAAAAAATTCTAATTGGATTGTGTCTCACTGCTCAAATTAAGGTTGAGAAAGGAAAAAAATCAATCCCAGGCCAAAGAGCCTTCCGCTGATGATGTTAAGAATCCACTAGAAGGAGCGCCTGGGTGGCTTAGTTGGTTTAAGCATCTGACTCTTGGTTCTGGTTCAAGTCATGATCTCAGGGTCCTGAGATGGGGCTTGGGTTGGGCTCCACAGTTGGTAGGGAGTCTACTTGTCCTTCTCCCTCTCCTTCTGTCCCTCCCCCGGCATCTCTGTGTGTGTGTGTGTCTCTCTCTCCCTCTCTAAAATAAATAAAATCTTAAAAAAAAAAAAGAAAAGAAAAAAGACTCAACTAGAAAATTGATTTTAAATGATATATAAACTTTAACTAATAATAGTCTATTCCAATGAACGCATTTCCTTGCTTGCTAGTTGTAAAATATTAACTCATACCCACGATAAATTATTAAAAAAAAAAACCCTGAACTTGCCACAAATACTTATCCATCTCCTTCCTGTTTTGTACAGTTCCTTGATTTAATATCCTCTTAGCTTCTTTTTTTCTTAAGATTTTATTTATTTATTTGAGAGAGACAGAGTGAGCATGTGTGCACGAGCAGGGGGAAGGGCAGAGGCAGAGGGACAAGCAGATTGCAGCCTGGAGCCTGAGGAGGGTCCCATCCCAGGACCCTGAGACCATGACCTGAGCCAAAGTGTGAGGCTTAATAGACTTAGCCACCCAGTACCCCTCCTCTGAGCTGTCCTGTTTCCTATTCTGAACTCTTCCCATTTTTTTTTAAAGTGCCAGTCTGCTGTAGACCTGACTCTGTATAATAGTAACTGAAAAATTGGTGTTACTTTTTTGTAAATATTCCTTTGGCATCTCTGATTTACTCTGGCTTCTGAAATCTAATTTCCTCTTCTCTCCTCATTTAAAAAA